TCATTGAGATCAAAATCACCAGCATGGAATTTTGTGAACCATCGTTGGCACTGACATTTTTGTAGAGCATTGTCACTGTAAACTTTATGCAACTTTTCACAAGCTTGACACATGTTCTTCCCTTTATGGAAGTAAAACAGTAAAATATGGCAAAAATGCACAGTTTGGTCTTCCATGTGCAACTTGTTGTAAAATCTCCAAAACTCAACCAAATTGCTCAATTTTTTTTAGAACAAAGCTAAAACTGTCAGCTGTCAAATGACAGCAATCATATAGATGCAAATGAGTCTAGTACTTCCAAAAATGAACTAGTGCCATCTGTCGCAAACACGCGTCATGACTTTTCCGACAACCCAATATATACACTACATCTTCTACCACAGGCACTAGGAACCACATGGTATTTATATTTGGTTCACCGCAGAAAAACAACATCTGTTGCACTATACAAGCTTAAAATGGTGCAATAAAATATTTTTGTAATGTTGCAGTGCCAGCTTACAAAATTTCAACAACCATAATACAGTCTTTGGGGAAGGGGCAGTACATGGCCACACACAAAACAATCACAGCAGCTCTCTGTCTTTGGTTCCTTTTGCAGGAAGGTTCTAGACCCACATAAGACAAGATTCAAGTGTTGTATTTCTTTGGACCCGAGTAAGGCCATCAGCTTAGTCTGCTGAGGTAGAAAAGGGCAGGCATTGTACTGGCCCTCAGTGTTTCTTATCTTTATATAAAAGGCAGAACTAAGTTTTATCCCTCGCTTCTCTGTCCAGATCTGGCAATACACTACAGGCAGGGTGTACCTTCCACATTCAGTGTGAATGGGGTCTCCTGCCTTGGGGTCCCCCTGGGTCGAAGTCAGTGGAGGCCCATCTAAGCTCAAGGATCACTAATGCTAGAAACAATTGATCCTTTCCTGGAAAACCAGAGCACAGCATGCACCCCTAGATATACAGGACCTCATCAAAGTAACATAGCTCCAAAAGCAAGAAGCAGCTGAGAACAGGCAGAAGAGTCTTGGCCAACAATGTAAATACAACTTTAAAGCATCACTAAAGGAAACATACCCTTTCAAGGCTTTATGTCTTACTTTGCAGCAGCTACCTCATAAATGTTTGAAGAATTGAGCCCATTTCTTCTCCTTGTGACATGTCAGCTGGTCGTGAGTTTGGGATTGGGCAGCAACTTATTCTTCCTTACCTCTAACTGTTGGAAGTGTCACCCACTCAGAGGAACCCGGAAACACTGAACAACCATGTGGCTTCACTCAGCACCACACTGGCTTTCAGGCTTGTTGTCCCGAGACCTGTCCTAGAAGTGAGCTTTTCTTGGTGTGAAGCTTTCCAGTGAGATTTGCTGAAAGACATCATTTCTCTGTCCTCCAACTGAACCTGTCCTAGACAAAAATGCAAACTCACCATGAAGGGGTCGTAGGAGGGCTCTGGGGGAGCCGAGTTGGCGCTCTCATACATGGGGTTCGAGATATTCTCAGGCTGCTGCTTGCCAAGAGCTGAGACGTCAATATCCTCTTCCGACTGCACAGAAAGACAAGCGCCTAAGCTGGGAGCCAGGATGTGCTGGGGGCAGGAGTGGCTCACCCAAAATGGCAGGTAAAGTAAGCCCTCCACTGTCACCTCGCAAACTCTTTAACAGTACTTGAATTGAGATCTGATTTACAAATAATAACATGTACCCATCTTAAGTGTTCCCACTCAATGACTTCTAAATATGTCCACCCAGGTGTGACCACCACTCAAATCAGCATAAGGGCATTTCCATCCCCCCAGGAAGTGATGTCATGCCATTCGACCCCGGTACCCAAGGCCACCCAGGGTAACCTGACTTCTGTCACCCTGGAGTGTTTTTGCCTGCCTATGAACTTAATTTAAAAGGATTTGTACAGAGTGTACATTTGTGCTGAAAATGATGTTTTTGAGATTTGCTCCTGGAGCGTATCAGAGGCAGGTTATCTGATAGAAGGAAGTGAACCACTGCCAGGGGCCCTGCACAGTCTTTACCAGGAATGTCTGGAGGAGGCAACGGGAGGGGAGGGTGGGCCAGGAAGGAGTAGAAAGCTCCTAAGAGAGGGTGCTTAGCTGCCGTGCTGCTGCTGAACCTGGTCCCCAGGGTTACCCTACCGTCAGCCAAGACCCCTGGCCTAGGTGTGGGCTCAATAGTGAAAATGGGGTGAAATTTTGACATTCAAAAACAGTTCAAATAGACATACTGTTTCCCTGGCTGTAGTGTGAGGCCCCACTGTGCAGGTCCCTGACCCTGTCTGCCACCTCAGAATCAGTCTTGAAGCCCAAGCCAGTCATGGTGAGCACTTGTCTTGTGAATCCTCCAAGGTGACAGTGCCTCCTGGGCCCTGGTGAATTTGCTTCTAAGCCAGCCCCCTGGCACAGAGGCTTGGAGGCTCCATGCCATTGGCAGCCCATCACCCTCCTCACCAACCTTGTCACAGTCAGGAAGAGGTGCTTGAAGCTAGCACTGCTGCTGCTCTTAGTGGCAGAGACCTGACCCAGGAGGCAGGAAGTGTGTGCCAAGCACCCAACTGCTGGGTGAGCTCTCAGAAGCAGCCCAGAGCCCATGGCTGAATTGCAGAGATGACCCCCATCCCCACGTTCCCACTTTTCTTGCTCTTACCTCAAAATGCTGGAAGCCAATTGTTCTGCGGTTTAGTCGAAAGTAAGAATATGCAGCCAAAGCGATGGCTCCAATGACCAGGATGATGGCAAAGACTATTCCTGTCCCCAAGCCAGTGTGGACTGAAGTCTGAACACAGAAAGGGGAGGGGTTGGTACTTAGAACGGGGGACTTCCCCAAAGAGGTACACTTTCTGGAACCCACTCCATTCTTGCTGGCCTGGGGCATCTTGGAGCAAGTTGGAATAAAAATAATGATAAAATAGTTAACATGTATCTACTCTTACTACTGCCAGAGTCTGTGCTAAGCCCCTTACATAAAATAATCCATTTAAACATATAGTAGCCCAAAGAGATAGGGACAGTTATTACTGTTTCTATTTTTATATGGGGGAACGGAGGCATAGAGAGGTTAAGTACTTGCCCAATATCACATACCCAATGGGTGATGCAGGTGTGCTTTGAAGCCAGCCTGTCTTTGGAGCTTATGCGCTTAACCACTAGGCTGTGAAGGGGTGAGCCAGCTGTGTTCACCCCTCCCTCACACTTGGGACAAAGTGAGAATACCAACAACACCAACCAACCATGCAATTCTTCTATAGCATGTACTATGTGCCAGGGACTGTCCTAATTATTTTATATTAACTCATAGTCCTCCCAAGAACCCAGGGAGGAAGGCATTATGACGACCATTTTTTCAGGTAGGAAAAATGGGGCTCTGAGATGTTCCAGGACTTGTGTAAGATCACACAGCCATGAAATGGAGGACTCAGGATTTCTCACTCTCCTTCCAGTGGTTTCTTCATGGGCCCATCCTGTCTCTTTTATTCAACAAATATTAATGGTGACAAGTGTTGTGTTGCTAATGCACAGGGATGGGGGTGTGATAAGCCAGGGCCAGGCACCCCCAAGGCCAGCTGTCATGGATAGGGGAGGCCCCTGCAGCCTCTAGGGGTAGGGGGGGTGAGCAGAGCTTCCAGCAACAGTTTACCTTTTGGGGAGAGAACATTGGGCTCCTTCTGGCCCCTCTCCAGGAACCCTGGGTACTCACCACTGGGGTGGGAGGTGCTTTTAAAGGCCTGGAAATGACATGAATGACCCCATTGGAGGCAAAGATGTCCCATTGCAGAATTGCTCTTCCATCGACAAACCTGGTCTCCTAGGGAAACAGAAGAGGGCTCAGGGAGATCCGTGGTTATCTGGCTCTTTCTCCCCACGTGGTGCCCCTTCCATGGAAGGCAGTTGTTTGTTTTGCCCGAGATCTCAGAGCCTGGGTTTCAGGCCTTCCTTCACAGACAGGCAACACAGGACTCCACTCACTATCAGAACAGTCCAGAAGACAATAGTTATGCCAACACTTGATCTAACTGCAGACGACCTACGTAAGGGTTCAACTGTCCAGCCCACTTGTCTGATAGATGAGGATTCAGGAGGAAAATGTTTTATCCAAGGTCACTCAGGTAGTAAGTGGCAAACCCCATGCCTCTGGACTCACTCCAGATCTAGTGCTCTGAACATCACTCCACACCATGAGGAAAAGGGATTTTTAAGTGACCTAATCCATTGCTAATCAAAGTGTGATCCACTGGCTTGTGGTGTGGGCAATCACCTGAGAGTTATTCGAAATGCGGAACCTGAGTCCCCGCACTCCACCTGTTGAATTACAACCTGCTTTTTAACAAACGTGTAGGTAATTTAAATGCCTGTTAAAGTTTGAGAAACATTAATCTGAACTACCAATCTTCAATAATAGAAATATTTTCTTAGATAAAAATTTAAAAAATAATATTTAGCATTTGCTCCATATCAGGCACTATTCTTGCATGCTGTAAGCCTTGAATCACTGAGTCTCCACAAGAGCCTATGATTTTGACATGATGGATATCATGGTCATCATTACCACAACCACCATTTCTAATATCATGACCATCATCATCATCACCATTATCATCATCATCAAAATAATCATCACCATCATCATCACCATCACCATTAATATCACTATCACAATCATCATTATCATTACCACCATTACCACCACCACTATCATCATCAAAATAGTCATCACCATCACTATCACCATTAATATCACCATTAATATCACCACTATCGTTATCAGCACCATCATCACCACCATCACCATCACCGTCATCAACATCATCATCACCATTAATATCACTACCATCACCATCATCACCATCATCATGCTATCACCACCATTATCACCATCACTGTTATCCATATCACCATCACCACCATCACTATCAACATCATCAACACATCCCAGCATCCCCATTTTTCAGATGAGGAAATTGGGACACAGAGAAGCTAGATACCTTGTCTAAGTTCCTACAGTGAGCAAGTGGCAGAAGTAGTTTTCATAGTAGGTTCACTTGACTTCAAGAATCACATGTTAATGCCTCGGATAGGCTGACAGTGTGACAGAAACAAAGATGGAGAATCAGACAGCTTTAAAGTGGTTTCGTTTATAATTACTCGTCATCAGTGGCTTATTAAGGGGTAAGGGCAGCCTGACAGTGTGGTATGCTATGGCATGCAGCCAAAACCATTCCCAAATGGAGGGTTTAGAGTATATTTTCACATTATAATAGTGGCCATCTATTAAGCACCTACTGTATGCTAGGAGCTTTGCATGTATTAACTCCAGTTTTCTTAATAAGCCCAGAAGGCTTTTCATACCGGTTGGCCCTGGTCCTCGCTGGAGGTGATGAGCAGCTGGCTTCCCAGCCTAGTTTGCAGGATGGTACCATTGACCAGGTCATCGTAAAAAGAGATGTTGACATTGGCGAAGTGGTGCTCGATGTCCCGCCCAGACAGCGTCTGAGAGGAAAGGAGAAACAAGAATGGTCTTTAAAGGCCAAGCAATATATTTTTTTAATGATAAGAAACACACACACACACACACACACACACACACACACACACAGAGTCACTTCTCATGGCCTTGGCTTTTCTGTTTCCACGTGGAGATCAGGAAAAGTCAAGTTTTTCTGAGGCTTTTGGTTGTCTGGCCCCAGCCAGAGGTTCACCTTTTGCTACGATGTGGTATTGAAAGTTATCTTTATGATATAAGCAGAGCTTCCCAACGGTGTGTTAGGAAGAATGGGCATTGAGTGGCTAACAAGTAGGCAGAGGTGTTGCTCCTTTCAGCCCTTGGAGGTGAGGGGTGGGTAGTGCCTGGGGCTGTCAGAGCCTGCAGGTCAACCACCTGTGGGAGGGCTGAATAAACATTGCCAAGTCCTCTGAGTGCCACGACATGACAAAGTTTGGTGTGGTAGATTGGTTGCATCAATGGCCCTGGTTCTCGCCCTTCCCTGTATCCTTGCCCTTTGCCATGTAACTCTGAGGGCCTCCCACTCTAAGTTTAGGCTCAGCCATGTGACTTACTGGTCTACTGACATGTCAGCAAATGTGACCAGCTTGACCAGGGGCTTGAAAAGCACTGGCAGGACCGGGCTTGCTCTCACTACTTCCTGCCATCGCCGTAAGAACATGCCCGGGCTAGCCTGCTGGAGGGTGAGAGCCCTGAGGAGCAGAGCCTCAGACAGGTTAGCCTAGATCAGCTGACGGCCAGTCCACCTCAGACATGTGAACACACCTGGCCAAGACCTGCAGATGTGTGAGCTAAGTAAATGTGTAGCCTCTGAGTTTTGGGGTGAGTTGTGACATAGCTTTGTTGTGGTGATAGGTAACTGATTCTGTCTAGGGGTGCTAGTCTACAGCACAGACATCAGGGACCCAACTCACCTCATTTTCCCCCAGCCCGCTGTTCTGTGGCACGAAGAGGGTGCCGTGAATTGACAGGTCAGCCAGGCGTTTCAGAAATGCTCCGCCCCTGGCTGAGCTGTTGGAATACGCCAGCACCTCCTGGGGAGAGGAAGGAAGGGATCAGATGGGCCAGCCCTGGTGTGTAAGGACCGTGATGGCTGGAAAGGATCGCATCTGGGAACATTCCTGATGTCAGCTCCAACTCAGGCTGCCACTCATCTGCTGTGTCTTTTGATTGCCCCTGAGACCATTTCAGGAGCACTTTTCTTTTCCTCACCGAATCCTACCATCCTAAATCACAGCCACATCACAGATCATTCTCAACATGGCAGCCTGCGCAGTTCTTTGAAATGTCAAGTCAAATCTTGAATCTCCTCTTGTCAAAACCCTGCAATGGCCCTGGCTTCACTCAGAGGAAAAGTCAAAGTCCTTAAAGTGGCCCAGGAGGCCTGAACCACCTGGGCAAACCCCACCCAGCGGCCCCCTCGCTCACTCTGTGCTGTTTCTCCAATTTGCCAGGCACACTCCTGCCTTTCTTGCTTTTTTTCTTGTTTGACTGTTCCTTTGGCCTGGAGCATTCTTCCTCCAAATCTGCATGGCTAACTCCCTCTCCTCTGTTGGCTGTCTCAAGTGTCACCTTCTCTCTGAGGCCTTGCCTCATCACTTTATGCAAAATGAGATCCCTGTGGTGCCCCTCCTCCTCCGCATTCCACCTCCCAGCACTACGATTTTCCCCACAGGCTATATCTCCTTCTAGCATTCAATGCTATTTCCTTGTTTATTCTGTTTATTTTCTGTGTCTATTTTGTTCGGTGATAATATCAAGCACATAGTAAGTTTTCAGTAAATACTGAATAGATTTTAAGAAATCACACTACCCAGTTCAACTTTGTCATTGTGCAGACAGGACTACTAATGCCCAGAGAAATTAATTTGCTGTAGAGCACATGGTCAATGGGTTTTATTCTGATACTGTTTTTCCCCCTGAAATGCTGTCACAAGACAAGCTCCCCCATAACAGAAACGTTGGTTTGGGTGTTTTTCTTCATAATATTAACCCTGATTTTTAGACCAGTTAGATAGATAGATACCTTTGGTCTGTGGACAGAGACTCACCGTTTTGGGGTCGTTGTTCTAACTTTTGCCCTGATCTTGCAAGGTCTGTGTTTATGCCTAGTCTCATGTCCTTGGTCGTGTCCTTGACCTTGCTATGCCTCCTTTGCTTTATCCACAAAGTGGGAATAATACCAGGAGTGACCTCATAAGGTTGCATGAGGATTTATTCCTTCTAACAAGTATTTACTGAGCACCAGCCACAAGGCAGAGAAAACCCTTTGCCTTACAGAGCTTACATTCTGTGGACTGAGTGCAACATGCTCTGAAAGGGCTCAGTATGGCGCCCAGTGCAAAGTCAGTGCTCAAGAAATGTTAGCTATTTTTATTATTATTAGCTCAGCTCTTTGATGAGTCAATGTCAAATCCTTCTCCAACTGGGGCTTTCTCTTCATTGGACATAACTTGTAGAATATCGAAGTGACTTTAAGTGCAGTGCAAAATGCATGTTGACACCATGCTGATAATTTCGCTTACTGGGGATCCCCCGGCAGGCTGAGCTCACTGCGTCCCACCCTGTCCATGAAGACAAGAACATCTCATTCCTGCAGATCAGACTCTTATGCTGCTCTAGATACAGAGATAACACTAGCTAACATCAGCATAGTATTGTCTCTGTGCTGGCCACAGGTTTATGTGCTTTACAAATATTAACTCACTTAATCCCACATGACCCTATGAAGTTGGTGCTATCATTATGTCCATTGTACAGATGAGGAAACTGAGGCCCAGAGAGGAAAGGAACTTTAAGGTGATGCAACAGGCGGCAAACCCAGGCTTCAAATTCAGGCAGTGTGGTCCAGTGCCCATGCTCTTAAACATGACCATGAGCCTTGGCCTTCTCTCAAGGACTCACCTCTCTAATACCTGCTTTGAGACAACCCCTCCTTCCCTGAGGTGAAAGCAAGCAGACATGGTACATACCGTCAGGAAATGTGTGAGTGAGGGTAAGGACATCAGGACCTGCAGTAGATTCCCACTGCACGAGAAGCCATCTCCCACGTAGCCCACCTTGCAGGTGCAGTTGACATCTGGAAGGCAGGAACACACAGGGTCCCGCTCCAGTGAGGCAGGGCCCTGGGCTGCCAAGCTCACCTGGGGAGACGGGCTGGCCGGGCTCAGCAGCTCTATGGCCTGGAATCTGAGGGGTAGCTGGGGTAGTTACCTTTCATCCGGTAGCAGAAGACATCCCACATCTCACTCTTGTTGTTTCTTGGTCCATAGTCCACTATCCCAACGACACCAGAGCCACAGTTCTGGGAGGCATAGGCTGTGGGATAGGCAACCCTCCCACTCTCAAGCCAGCCTGCTGAACAGAGGTGGTACTTGGCCTGTAGGAACACACGTGGCCACAGATCAGCTGCAATTTCATACTTGTTGTGGGCCCCTGTGGTTAATGTCTGATTCCCTCATCAGACTGTAAACTCAATGGAGTCTGGGGTTATATAGTTCATTCTGCCTATTATACTTCTGTGATTGGAACCATAGTAGGCGCTTGTTAAGTTTTTGTTGATTGAACCACTGGATGGATGAAAGTGGTGCCTTCTCTTTCTTGTAGGTGCCCAACTGCTTCACACTCATTTCTCTTCAGCCCCACTCTTGAGAAAGGATTTGCTATCAGCTATTTATTCCTGGATACAAATTCTCCTGCTTATGAGCTGACAGAACTCTAATTGATTGTCAACAATATCATCATCACCATCACCATAATCATTGTCATCATAACACTCACTGAGTGCATATTCTGGGCCGCGTTCTATTGCAAGGGCTTTTCATGTGTCGACACCTTTAACCCTCACATCCACCCTTTGAGATAGGAACTTAAAAAAAAAATCCCTATCATGTTACAACCGAAACTAATAAAATAAAATAAAATCATACACACACACACAAGATATATAATTACATATCTTTCCTTAGGAAGAAAACATTACGGGCCCGAGATGAATGTGTTTGATACTGGGAAGGTGATGATATGAAATGAGTGCAGCAGCCCTGAGGTCTGAGGCTTGTGTTGAGCTGCTGCCCAGGGTAGGTTTCCATCAGGTGAAACCCTTCTTCAGGATAGCTGCCTCTGTTGCCAGAGATCATTTCATGTATGTCTACCTTTACATAAATGCAGAGGGTGCCGCGTTTCCCCTTTCTGATTTTGATGGAGGAAACAGATTTTTTTCTCTGGGACATTTGTCTTCTGTCTAGATTCAATGTGCATGCACACTTAAGCCTGCCAACAGAGATGCTTATTCTCCAAAGAAGAAAGAAAGATAAAGGAACAAAGGAACAAGACAAACAAATAAACAAAAACTCATAGACACAGACAGTAATTTAGTGGTTACCAGAGGGTAAGTGGGGAGGGGGGTGGTGGAAGATGGTAAATGGGGTCAAATATTGGGCTCTCGGAAAAGTCATGATGCAGTTTTGCAACAAAAACATAGACAAAATACGTCATGACTTTTCCGACAACCCAATATATGGTGATGGAAAGAGAACTGACTCTGGGTGGTGAACACACAATGTGATATATCGATGATGTGTTACATAATTGTACACTTGAAACCTATGTAATTTTACTAACCATTGTCACCCCAATACATTTTAATTAAACAAAAATTTTTATCATGTAATTGAGAAAATTGAGGCAAAGAAGAGTTAAGTATTATAACTTGCTCAAAGTCATCCAGCCAGCAAGTAGCAGAGCTGAGATTCAAACCCAGGTAGTCTACTCCAGAGCTTTTACTCTTAAAAGTTGAGTTCCTACTGTGTGCTAGTCTCCGTGCCAAATTACTTTTAGTCTTTATGTTAACATCCCAAGTAGCACAGAGGTTTCAATGGCTTGATCAAGGCCACACAGCCAGCAAGCAGGAGAGTAGAAATTCAGACCCTCCAGGAACCTGGGTTCTGTCATCAAAGCCTTTGTTCCTTGGTAAAGAAACTGCAGGTCTGAAGAAAGGTAGAGAGATTTGGTAGTGATGGAGGTGAAGGAAGAATTCTAAAATCACTGTATAGACAGTCACCTCCTGTACTCCCACTAGCAGGTAACTCCAAGGCACTGGCCTTTCCCAATGGGCTGGCCAGAGCTCTGTTTCTTGCCTAGATGTGGCTGAGAGCCGGGGCAATCCCCACTGACCCCTTTCACAGCCCCTCCAGACAAAGCTCCAGCTGTTCCAGAGAAACGCGACTGCTTCGTGGGTTCAGGGGCATCCTAGGCTTGTGGTTACAGATCTCTTTCTGGTTTCCAGCCGTGAGGTACGCACTCCCAGTCTGTGCCTCTGTTTTGGCAGCTGAATGTCATGGTTGAGAACAGACTTTTGGAGTCAAGGCTATATTTGAATACTGGATCTGTCACCTCTTGACTAGGTGACATTGGGCACATTACTTAACCGTTCAGAGCCTCAGTTGCCCTACCTGTACCTCCACGGATGTCGTAAGGATGGACAGTAATGTCAACAAACCACTCCTCACAGGACCTGCCTGACACATAGTAGAGTCTCAATGGACGTGACAAATGGTTATTATAGCTCCAGGAGCTTTCTGCACGCCCCTCCACGAAGGCAACAGCCCAAGTCTCCAGACCATGTTAGGAAGAAGCTGTAGCTCCTCCCCAGTAGACCCTGCCTGCATGGTGCCCACTAACTGGGGACCCACCTTCTGAGCGTAGGAGAGCTGGTTGTAGGTTGCTATGGTTGCAGCTTCGTTGGCACAGGCCTGTTTGGCTTTATCAAAGGTCAGCTTGTACTGGCCCAGTGGGGAGCGTAGATGGAACACTCCAACGGTGGTATCTAGAAGGGGAAGAAGAAGAATGGCCGAGGTCAGCCTGCCTGGTTGGCAGTACCTCTTGCAAAGCACTTTGGAGGACTTTCAAAGCGACAGGCCAGCTACTGAGTCTCTGTATGTGGAATCGTACATTTGTCCTTTTGTGTCTGGCTTATTTCATGTAGCATAATGTTTTCAAGGTTTATTCATGTTGTAGCGTATATCAGAATTTCAATCCTTTTCAAAGCTGAATAATATCCCATTGTATGGGTATACTACACTTTGTTTATCCATTCATTTGTTGATGGACCTTTGGGTGGTTTTCACCTTTTGGCTGTTGTGAATAATGCTGCTGTGAACATGGGTGTGCAGAAATCTGTTCGCGTCCCTGCTTTCGATTTTTCTCTGTTCTTCTCTCTCGTTTCAGTTGCACAATCAATATGAGATAAATTGCTGTCTTCTGTCTTATTACTCTCTTTTCCTGGTCTTATAAAAATTTCCTCAACTACACTGGACACCTTCTTGCAAGGAGACAGTGTTATATATCCTATGCATCCTCTCCATCCTATCTCATCTCCAAAAGAAATTTGAGGTGTCTTAGGACTTGATATATGTTATGGACTGAATGTTTGTGTCCCCTCTATCTTCATATATTAGAATCCAGACCCCCTATGTGATGGTATTAGGAGGTGGGGCCTTTGGGAGGTGATTAGGTCAGGAGGGTAGCACCCTAATGAATGGGGTTAGTGCCCTTATAAAAGGGACCCCAGAGAGCTCCCTTGCCCTATGCACCATGTGAGGAGACATTGAGAAGCTGGCAACCTGCAATCCAGAAGAGGGGCCAAGTTAGAACTTGATCACGCCGGCATTCTGATCTCAGACTTCCAGCTTCCAGAACTGTGAGACATAAACTTCTGTTGTTTATAAGCCACCCAATCTATGGTACTTTATTGTAGCAGCCCTGATGGACTAAGATAGTACATATAGGTATTAAGTCAATAGTTATTATTGAAATGTGTAAACACTGCCTCACTAACATGATCATGTCTGTAAAGCAAAACCAACCCAGTCAGAGACATCCATTGGCCATAACACGCAGTGCCCTGAATGGCTTTCTGAACCACAGAAACCCCTCCTCACCCTGGCTCAGAACGAGTTTGTGGGTCCTTTATGGCTTTCTCCCATCAGGTTTCAAGATGCCCTAACACCTGCGTCTCTGTACGTCTTAGTTTTATTATACCTGTGGGTTTATTCTAAGCCACTAAAATTATCCTTGCAAGTGAGTGGGGCTTATGCGAATCGATGTGCTACTATCAAAACAGTTGCTAAGAAATCGCTTCTGCATGTGGCAGGCGCTTCCTCGTTGTTGTTTAAACCCTAAACTATGCTCCTTAGATTCAATTCCAATCAACTGGTGGCAGGGGTTACTAAGCAACTTGGGGAAAGCAGGTGTCAGGAAAATTCATGATAGATGATGACCTTTGAGCTCCCTCCAGGTTCTTCTGGCTCAGGGTCCAATTCTGAGTTTACTCCGTCCCTCCACGACAGAGGCCCACTGCCTCTTGGACACTGGGTCCTGGGCAATGCATGGGCTGTTTGGTCCCCAAGTTTTAATTAAAAATTTTTTTTAATTAAAATTAAAAAATTTAACTAAATTAAAACTTTTCCTTTTTTAAAGTTCATTTTTTTTTCTTTTGCTCTTGCCTAGATCCCATTCCCCAAGCCTGAAGATCAGGTGCTTTGGGCCAGCAGCCCCCGGCCACACTGACCCTGGAAGTGTAGGTCGGCACAGTTGGCATCGGCGTGGCACTGCCCGTTGTCCTGTAAGCAGCGGTCAATGGGCAGCTCCTCTGGCTCACAGTCCAGTCCGTCTCCCACGTAATGACTTTTACATGCACACTTGTGCTTGCCCTGTGGGGAGAGTAGAAAACATAAAAAATCCCCTTCTCTAGGACCCCAGGACCCACAAGTGCTCTATGAGCCATCATCCAGCATAAGGGATGTTCAGAAGGCCCAAGAATGTGCACCTCTCCTGTCCAGAGGGAATTTAGTAACTGCCACGGATTGTGTTTCTACAGGCTCATGATGAAACATCATCCTTTACATCTCAGCTCAAGTGTCGCTTCCTCAGACAGAGCCTCCCTGATCCAGCGACATAAACTAGCTCTCCCAGTCCCTTCCCTCACATCGGCCCGATTTATGTTCTTCCTGACCCTTGGTGCTCCCAAACGTGTCTTGTCCGGTTGTTTCCACACCAAGCATTGCCCTCTCCCTCAGCTTGTAGAGAGTCTTTTTATTGCTACATCCCTGGCACCTGAAATAGCACATAGTAGGTGCTTGATGACCATGTGTTGACTCAATGAATGATCTCATTGAATCCCTGCAACAACCCTAGGAGGTCTGCATTATTAGGCCCACTTTGCAGATGAGGAAACTGAGGCTCAGAGAGATTAAGTAGCCGGCCCCAGTCCACACAGTGTGGAAGTCCAGGAGCTAAGACTCCAAGGCTGTCTGACTCTAAGTTCACGTTCGTGACCATAACAGACATTATCCCCCACCATCTTCTCTTCCCACCAGATAAACAGAGCAACAGGCCACGATTCCATTCTATAAAGACTTGAGGGAGTGCCCAAACCTGCGCTTTTCCTGCCACTTCCTATCAACTTTTTTTGTTTTAATGAACTTTCGAATAATTTTAGAGTTATAGAAAAGCTGCGACGATAGCAGAAAGAGTTCCCATGTACTCTCCACCCAGTTTCCCCTAACATTTTACACAATCATAGTACATTTGTCAATCCTAAGAAATTAGTGTTGGCACGTTACTATTAACTAAACAATAGACTATGTGGATTTCCTCAGTTTTCCCACTAATATCCTTCTTCTGCTTACGATACCACTTTGCATGTAGCCTGCTGACTTAACAAGAAATAGACTGAGGTGGGAAGCAACCTTAGGAAGAGGCCGAATGGTGAGCAGGGTGGAGACGCAAGGCTGAGCGAAGCGCAAGAAGCTGATCTCAGGTTTCCTGGGGCAGAGACTCACCGGGCCGGTCATCTTGCATGTGGCATGCTCGTGACACCCACCATTGAGGCCGTCTGCACAGGGGTCTATCTCCATGCAGCTGTGGCCATCCCCCTTGTAGCCCTTGGGGCAGCTGCAGGAGACTTTTGTGTCTTTCTGGGAGCACTTGGCGATCTTTGCACAGCCCCCGTTGTTCTGTTTGCAGAAATCCACAACTGCAAGAGCAGGGGAGAGAGGGCTCAGTGAGCCACCGTCTGTGTAACTGGGACTTCAGATTAGGGGGTATGGGTTGCAGGACCAATGGTGCTGGGGGAGTAAATGGGCCCCCATATGTTGGTGCCTTGTCCCCCCATGCCCCGTGGTCTCTGGGCTAGCCTTTGCAAACACTAATACCCTGAGGCTAATTAACCTCATAGACCAGGCCTGATGACATCTGTCCACCTTTGCCCCCTTTGGCACATACATCTAGATTCCATTTGATAGTACTTTTCTGAATAAGTTTGGGTTCTTAATGTTAGGACAGTTATGTGTGTATATGTGTGTGTAGAGTTAGTGCACTATCGAGCACCTGTGAGGTAGGCATTGTACCCCCATCCTACAGATGAACAAACTGAAACTCAGAGAGCTTCACTGACCCGATAAAGGCAAAATGGCTAAATATGGTGGGGCTGGGATTTAAACCCCAGTTGGTTTGATTCCAAAGTCTGTGCTTTCCCCACAGTTTTGTGCTGCCTCTACGGACCTTTGTTTTCACAATCCCCCAAATTTCAACCCAATAATAGGTTAGCTCCAGCTTCAGGAGTAGCTGGAAAGCCATTTGATTTCTTTTGTCTGTCTTTTTGCCTGGAGTTGTTGCACCCACTTGAAATTGAGAGAATGGGCCGAAAGCCTCACCCTAAGGATGGCAGGATAGAAAGACGGAACTTGGGTCTTTGCTGCCATCATTAAGCATTGACTCACTTCTGGACTATCTCGTAGAAAATGACAAAAACAGCAGGTATAGCAAGATCTCATTTTTATAAAGAAAGTTCGTATCTCTATATGAATATTTATTCATGAAAAAAAGAAAGTACTCATGACCAAGACTGGTAGCTTTCCCCTAATACGTATGGGCTCCTTTATTTACAGAATAGACATTTAGCTGGGCTCAAAGTTGCCCAACCAAAGATTACATTTCCAGGCTCTCTTGCAGCGAGGTGTGACCAATGATTTGGGTCCAGCCAATGGGATGTGAACAGACAGGAGTTTAGCAATTACCGTATTTCCCCATGTATAAGATGCACCTTAGTTTTGGGGCCCAAAATTTGAAAAAAAATACATAAAGTTATTGAAGTCAAATTTTATTCATTATAAAATTCATACAACTCCTCATCACTGTCAAAACTCCCAACCATTAGCTTGTCTTCATCTGTGCCTGATGACGAATCACTGTCTTCATGTATTGCCTCTCATGGCCTTCTTCTGCCGTGGCGTTTTCAGTAAGGTTTCTTCTTCCTGTAGCCAGTCTCAGATTGCTTTCTCAGTTGGAGGAGGACCAAACTTACGTTCAGCAGCACAATTTCCATGCACTTTTGCAAACTGGATCACTTTTAACTTGAATTAAACACTATACGAAAATCTTTTCTGAGCCATTTCTGGGCAGAACGTGGCAAAGCGTAACCTACCGTAATATACCGGTACCAAGTGCGAAACAACGCAAAGACAACAAGCGTGAAAAAGCAAGTAAAAAAAACCTACAACCACTGTATAAGGCGCACCCAATTTTTAGACCCCAAATTTTACGAGAAAGGGTGCGTCTTATACATGGGGAAATACGGTACTAGTTGTGTCCTTAAAGAGAGGGAGGTTTACCTCCTTTCTCTCCACCTCTATGCTGTTGCCTGCGATGTGCTTATGGTGGTGGCCATCTTGGGCCAAGCAAGTGAGTGATGGCAGAGCTACAAGATATTAGGAGTCTGGGCTCCCAGGGGACTTTTCCGAGTGATTCCCTATGTTAGCCCTGGATGCCTTCATCCAAACTGTTATATGAGATACAAATTAACATCTAAATATCTGCCTTGTTTTTGCCACTGTTCATTTGGGTTGCTGTGTGGATGAACTGATGTCCTAACGACTAAAGACAGACTTTGCAAAGTTTAGAGTTGTTCTCACTGAGTGGTGAAAATTTGTGTAGGTTTAACTATTGTTTTTTAAATACGGTAGTGTATTTTCTGAGTTTTTTTGAAATAAGACTGGATTACTCATAGAGTTAGAAAAACACTCTAAAATAAAGTACATCACAGTTTGCAAAGCAATTTCAAATCCATGACTTGGGAGGTAGGTAGATAGGTCAGGCGTGAGCAAACCCATTAAGGAAACTGAGTCACAGAGAGTATTGCCAAGTGGCCCAGGCAGGGAGTGGAAGGGCCAGGATGGAGCCCAGGCACTCTGCCTGAGTCCCGCTCTCGCTGCTATTTCCCACACGCACGAAGGGGACCCACCTGTGCACGTTATGCCATCTCCTTCGTAATTCAGGTTACACTCACAGGTGTTGTTCTCCTTACAGGTGGCACGAGTAGAACAAGGAGGTGTGCACACTGGGGGCAGGGCTGAAAAGAAAAAGGTCACCATTCATCCTGCATCATGGTGAAAAGAGTTGAGATCCACCTAAAGCGTCTTCCCAAGACTCTCTGGCCTGCTACTGTGTTTCAAAAGTGTCGCCTTACAGTAGGAGGATGGGTTGATTTGCTAAGGTCCTTCCTAGCCTGGAAATTCTGAGATTCCGGAATTACTCCTTCATACTGAGACATTATTTCTGCAACGTTAATCAGATTAAAATGCAAATATAACTTTAGGGGCAACCAGTTAAAACTTTATACTGCAAAATTTGCTAGCAGAGATGAATTTGGCAGATTAGCTCTCTGGTCCTAAGGGCATGGGGTTCCAGAAGGAGACGGTTAAATTGGAGGAGAAATTTCACAGCCTTCTGAGGGCACCACCAAGCTTGGGACAAGTCTGGAGCTCTGGTGATTGGATGGGGCTGCAGGGGTTAGGGAAGGAGGAAGAACTGGAGATAAGGGCACTGCTGGAATTCTGGAACTTCAGGTTGCCAAAGCCCATAGGAAGAGCTTAGCCATGCCCTTCCGCCCCCAGGGAGGATGAAATGACAGTGATTCATAGTGGATAATTCAACCATCACATCTCAGAACTTTTGCCAGAACACAGGGCTTTGGGTACGAGGGAGGCCTCAGAATACTGATTGCTCAGTAAGGATGAGGATTACGGCCTTGATGATAATGATGACAGTGATAATGGTAGTACTGCTTTTAAGTGCCCCCATATACAGGGCACTTCAAAACCTGCTCTCTGACCCTCACAACAACCCTCCCCCTGCAAAGTGTGCAACACGCACTTCTTTTTTCAGGATGAGCGTGTCAAGGCTCAGAGCAGGTGGGTTATCTAAGGCCGTGTGTCTAGTGAGCAGCAGAATCAGGGGTCAGATCCTGGACTCCATGACTGGGCGTTTCCTATGAAACCATTCTGCCTCTGTGTCTGTACACATCTGGGCCCAGGACCACAATTCCGAGGGACCCTTCCTGTCTGATCCTGTATTCTTTGCCTGAGGCGGGTCCTTCCATGATTGCACAGGACTGCACGCTTGTTGCAAGGGTTTGAATTAAACCTGTTCATTTAGTGTTTCTTCAAGTTGCCAAATCTCCTGACGCCTGGGGCCACAGATCCAAGTCATGTTTTCTATTAATACGCGGGAAAGGGAACATCTGCTGTGTTATTTTTGTTCCCCCAGGTGTTGCTCAGATCCCCAGCCTCTCAGTTGGACGCTCTCAGCAGGGTTCTCTGTAGCTTCATGCTACTATGGCTGACCAACCACTCCCATAACAGACCTGCCGGAGTGTCACAGAGGCGGCCTGTCCATCCTGCTTCACAGAGGCACTGCCCAGAGCCTGTGATCCCATCATCACACTGTCCATGGGCGGAGCAGCCACAGGCTGTAAAACAAATCGGAGTGTGATCAGTAATCAGTGATCAGGGATTGAAATCCAATCAAGCCGCTCACTGACCACCTGTTGGCTGTGTTGTCAGTGTGGGAGGCACCCTGCTTATGCCGTAGTCATTCATTCATTCATTCATTCATTCATTCATTCATTCAAACATTCAAAAACTGTTTTATTCAGTGGCTGTCATGGAGCAGACAGTAACTAGACAATGAGGTTACAGTGGAAAACATAAGAAATAAGGTTCCTGTTCTCATGGAGCTTACAGCCTAGGAGTAACTGGCTACTGACCATGTAATTATAAATATGGTGTGTTATAAAAATGGATGTAGAGAATGGGATGGGGTATGAAACAGAATAGTGTTGTGATGTTTATTTTAGGGCGAGCCACTGGCCTATGGGACATGAACTTAAATGTATTTTATCTGGCTCTCCTACCAGAGAAATCTACTTAACAGTAAAATCTTCAAGATATGTACTGATCCTTCTGCTTCTGCCACCTCCAGCACCATCGCCCTAGCCCCAGGCAGCGCCAGCTGTCCCCTAGGCTGTTGCAGTAGTTTACCCTGCTGGTGGTGCTCCTTGTGCTTTTTTTTTAAAGGTTTTATTAGGGAATTGGGGGAGGGGAACAGACAAGTTGCTGTCCCTATGTTCTTCAGTCTAGTTGTGGAGGACGCTGCTTCACTGGCCCATGTTGGTATTATCATCGCACTCTTTCTGGGTGAGGCAGATTGGTCGCCAGCCATTGGACGGCCACTCATGGTGGCTCACAGCAGCTCATGCTGGCTGTCAGCTAGCCCCACTGCCTCCTATGCTGTCGTTGGTGGCTCACGGCAATTCTCGCTGGCTGCTGGCCGCTCACGCTGGTTGTCTGCAACTCACAGTGGCTCACGGCAGCCCACTGCAGCCCCACTGCAACCTATGCCATCACCAGCCACTCATGGCAGCCCAGCTCCAGGTCAAGCTGTTGTTCACCATCTTAGCTGTAGAGGGCGCAGTGTCACTGGCCCATATGGGATCCGAACTGGCGGCCCTGCTGCTCAGAGCTTGCGCTCCCAAGCCAACTCTTAACCAACGCGCCATTTGGCCAGCCCCCTGCTTCTGCTCTTGATTTCCTGGAGTATATTCCCCACAGGGCAGCTGGAGTGACCTTTCTGTTCTGCTCATGACATTCCTCCATTTACAAGCCTCTACAGTATGCCCATCACACTCAGAACAGATGCCAAAGATCTTTCTCTGGCAGAGAAGTTCCTACATGACCTGGCCCCTGGCAACCTTCAGATTTCATTTCCGTCCTCTCTCCCTCTTCTTTGCCCACTCCGCTCAGCCACCTGGCCTCTTTGCTGTTTGTTCTTGCCAAGCCCCCTCCTGCCTCAGGGCCTTTGCACTTGCTTATCTCTCTTCCACAGTCCCTTTTACCTGCTTTAATTTCTTTATACCTTTATAATTAAAATTTTTTTTAAAATTAAAATATAGATAACACACAATATTATGTTAGTTTAAGGTGTACATCATAGTTATTCAACAGTACCCACCTGGAACTAAACACAGTTATTACCCCGTTATTGATATTGACTATATTCCCTATGCTAAGGAAGTGATCACCATGGTAAGCCCAGCAACCATCTGACACCGTACCACGCTATCACAATAATATTGACTATATTTCCTATGCTGTACATTACATCCCTAAGACTTATTTGTTTTATACCTAGAACTTTGAACCTCTTATTCTTCTTTATCTCCCCTACCCTTTTAATTTTTCAATTAGAGTTGGTGTTCAATATTATTTTATATTGGTTTCAGGTGTACAGCATAGTGGTCAGACATTTATGTAATTTAGGGATTGATCCCCCTGACTAGTACCCAGCTGGCACTTTACATAGTTATTATCATATTATTATATTCCCTACGCTTTACATCTCCATGACTATTTCGTAACTACCAATTTGTACTTCTTAATCCCTTCCCCTTTTTCACCCACCCCTAAACCCCCTCCCATCTGGCAACCATCAAAATGTTCTTTGAATCTATGAGTTTATTTCTGTTCCATTTGTTTATTTTTTTCTTTAGATTCCACTTATAAGTGAAATCATATGACATTTGTCTTTCACTGTTTGACTTCCTACACTTAGCACAATGCCCTCTAGGTCCATCCATGTTGTCACAGATGGCAAGATTTCATTCTTTTTTATGGTTGAGTAATATTCCATTGTATATATTTACCGCCTCTTCTTTATCCATTCACCCAGGTTGCCTTCATGTCTTGGCTATTGTAAACAATGCTGCAATGAAAATATGCATAAGCATGTCCCCTTGAAGTAGCATTTTGGGTTTCTTTGGATAAATACCCAGAAGTGGGATTACTGGGTCCTTTTTTGTCTTTTGTTATAGTCTGTTTTAAAGTCTATTTTGTCTGGTATAAGTATTGCTACCCTAGGTTTGGGTTTTTTTTCCCCCATTTTCATGAAATATCTTTTTCCTCCCTTTACTTTCAGTCTTTGTGTGTCTTTTGATCTGAAGTGAGTCTCTTGTAGGCAGCATATATAAGGGTCTTGTTTTCTTATCAATTCATCTCCCCTATCTTTTGACTGGAGCACTTAATCCATTTACACTGAATGTAATTGATAGGTATGTAGTTATTGCCATTTTATTATTCATAGGTTTTATTTTTTTTTAAATTTCATCTTAAAGAAGTCCTTCTAAGATTCCTTGTAATACTGGTTTGCTGGTGATGAACTCCTTTAGCTTTTTCTTGTCTGGGAAGCTCTTTATCTGTCCTTCGAGTCTAAATGAAGCTTTGCTGGGTAGAATAATCTTGATGGTAGGTCCTTGCTTTTCATCACTTCGAATATTTGCTGCCAATCCCTTCTGGCCTGCAAAGTTTCTGTTGAGAAATCAGCTCATTGTCTTATGGGAACTCCCTTGTAGGTAACTAACTGCTTTTCTCTTGCTGCTTTTAAGATTCTCTCTTTGTCTTTAACCTTTGGCATTTTAATTATGATGTGTTTTGGTGTTGGCCTCTTTGGCTTCATCTTGTTGGGGACTCTCTGTGCTTCCTGGTTTGTATATTTATTTCCTTTACCAGGTTAGGGAAGTTTTCTGTCATTATTTCTTCAAATATGTTTTCAATTCCTTGCTCTCTCTCTTTTCCTACTGGTACCCCTATGATGTTAATGTTGGTGTGCTTGAGGTTGTCCCAGAGGCCCCTTAAACTCTCTTTTTTTTTTAGATTCTTTTTTTTCTTCTGTTTTGATTGTGTTTTCTGCTACCTTATCTTCTACATCGCTGGTTGGATCCTCTGCTTCATCTAACCTACTGTTGATTTCCTGTAATGTATTCTTTATTTCCATTATTGTATTCTTTATTTCTGACTGGTTCTTTTCCATGTTTTCTATCTCCATTTTTATGTTTCCTGTCTTTTTGTTGAAGTTCTCCCTGAGATCATCGAGGAGCCTTATAACTAGTGTTTGGAGCTCTGTATCTGGTAGATTCCTCATCTCCATTTTGTTTAGTTCTTTTTCTGGGGCTTTGTTCTGTTTTTTTTGTTTTTGTTGTTGTTGTTTTTTTTATGTGGGATATGTTTCTTTGTCTCCCCATTTTGGCTGCCTCCCTGTGTTTGTTTCTATGTATTAAGTAGGGCTGCTATGTCTCCTGGTCTTAGTAGAGTGGCCTATGTATGTTGTAGGTGTGCAGTGGGGCTGGTGGCATAATCTTTCTCGTCACTTGTACCACACACTCCAGGTGTGTCCTTTGTGTGGGTTGTGTGTACTCTCCTCTTGTAGTTGAGCCTTGGTTGCTATTTGCACATCAGTGGGAGGGACTGACCCTTGGGCTCACTGGTTGTGAGGACTGGCCTTGGCTATAGTGGAAGAGCTGTTGTGCAGGGGCTGACCCTACAGAGCAGGATCTGCCTCAGCAGGACTCTGGTGTCTGCTCAATCTACCCCTTGGGTGTGTCGTCCTTGGAGGCAGCTGGGCGTTGCTCCATTTTGTTTTGAATTTGGCCGCTGGGGGCGCCAGGACCAACTGGGAGGGGACCCGCTGCAGGTCAATTTCATTCACAGTCTGTGCCCCACCTGGGGCCACTCAGCAGGAGCCACAAAGCAATATGCAGATCACTGCTGCCCATGCTGTGCTTGGAAGTGCCTTGAGAGGCCAAACCATGAACCAAAGCTGGTTGCCACTAGTGTCAGGTTTAGGACTGCTCAGCCAGAGGTACTGGACATGCTCAAGCCAGAGGCTTCTTGCCTGGGTTCCACAAACCTTTAAGAGACCATAGGAAAGTCTGCAGCATGAGCCAAGGCAGGTGGTTTGTACGAAAAAGCCACTGGGAGCTGCTTGGGTGTGCCTCAAAGTTGGGCAGGTCATGATCTCAAATCACGGGAGAAGGAACTGCATTAGCCAGCTGGATAGAGACTCAGATATGGCGGCTGCCTGCGTCTGTACGCCGGGAAGGGGGAGGGCTCAGCAAAGAAACAATGGCCTCCACCAGCTCCTCTGTCTGGGAGAAAGCTGCTCCTCCAGCCCTGGTCCTGAAATCAGACAACTCAGTTCGCTCCTGTATGTCCCTGTCGCTTCTCTAGCTTGTGCCTCGTAACTGGAGCTCTGAGCCAGTGATATGGTTGGTGCGTAAGTTCGTGCACAGTCTCTTTAAGAGGAGAGCCTGGGATTCCAGCTGCCCTCCATCTCACTCAGTCACAATCTCTGCTGGTTTTCACAACCAGAAATTATTGGGATTTCTCTCCGTGGCACTGGAACTGTGGGCTGGGGAGGGGCTATAACTCCTTACTTCTACACAGGGGGAAGCTGAGATATCCCTCCTGATTCTTAACGGTCACATGCGGGTGGGTGACCAGCCTGTTCCGCGCGTCTCGGGACTTCCTACCAGTTTCGAGGTGGACTCTTCTGAATGTCCTTAGTTGTAGGGCTTTGGTTCAGCAAGATTTTAGGTGATTCTCAATTATGGTTGTTTTGTAGTTTAGTTGTAATTTTGACGTGACCATGAAAGAAGATAAGCACAGCCTTTACCTACTGTGCCACCTTGACTGGAACACAGAAGCATATATAATTTTGAAATGTTAAATTTTGGCAAAGAACCTTTTATAACTACTTTTGTTACTGCAGTTTTTATCTGTTTCCTTCCTTTGACTATACGAGTACACTCCTTGAGAGCTGGGATTTTGCCCCCTTCCCACACCACTGTATCCTTACAACTTAGAACAATTCCTGGCTTTGAGCAAGTCATTCAGCCTCTTTGTGCCTCTATTTCCTCATCTGCTAAGTGGGAATATTAACAGTACCTCCCTCAAAAGGGTTGCTGTGAGGGGTAAATGGTAAAACATGCCTGCTTGGCACATAGTAGGCACTCCATAAACGTTAGCTATCAATATCCGTAAGGACTCAGTAATACATGTTGGTTGAATAATTGAATGAATGGATGTTGTTCAGGCACAGCTTACCTTGGCTGCAGGGGATGTGAGTTTCACTTTTAGGGATGAAGCTCTTTCAGTGGATGGAAACTGGGACTGCATCCCAGGAGGGGAAGCATGTAAGGGCAGGCAGATAGGAGGAGGTGGGTAGCCGGAGAAAGGGGAAGAAGGATGCTTCCAGGTCAGGAGGATGTGTGGATGAGGACGGGGAGCACACAGCTGATCTGGCTAAAGCACAGGGGAGTGGGTACCACATACGCTGACAATCAGGCCCGAATCTCCCTGGCCAGCACAGCTCACACGCCGTCCCATTGAAGCCGGCGTTGCATTTACACTCTCCCGTGAGCCAGTACTGATCGAGGCAGACACCGCGGTTATTACATGGGGTATCCGGTCCTCCAGGGCAGGCTGGAAGAAATGAAACAGCAGGGACTCATCAGTCTCCCCGGCATTTGTAAATGTGCTGATAACCCATGATTAGCTGTGGGTTCTGACCTCCATTAGCCCAGAGGGACCGTGGCTCTGTGGACACACCCACTTCATGTCATGATATTTAAGGCAAGCCACTGGCCTATGGGATGTGAACTTAAATGTATCCGATAGGTTTCTACCTCGGCAGGGTGATATGCTGAACCATGCACTGTATTTGTGGGCTGGGAGACCTGGCTTTGAGTCACTGTGGCCTGAATAACGAACTTGCTCTGAGCTTCAGTTCTCTTAACTCTAGATGATGATGATGATGATGATGATGATGATGATGATGATGATGATGATGATAGGCCCACTTGACCTATACCACCTTGTGACATGAGGGTCAAATGAGGTACTATAACTGAGAACATTTTGAAAATACAAAGCACGGAACAAATACAAGGGATGGCACTGATTCTTGTGAATGGTCCACACTTTGGTGGTGGAGAGCGGAGGCTGGGTAATTGTGTGGACTGCCAGCCCAGAATTTTCTAACTGGACCAGAATAAATAGAGTACGTGTGGTAGTTAAAACTATGGCTTCTAGACACAGTGTGGGGTCGTGGACTGGCTTCTTATCCTCCTGTGCCTCCATTTTCTCATCTGTAAAGTGGGATAGCAATGTAATCTTCTTAGGGATTGTTCTGAGGTGTAAATGTATTGATATATTTGGGGAGTCGCACTCAATTAGTGCGCTCACTTAATGCATGGCAGATGGGAAGTGCCATGCATCACATTTGTCACGCTGCTGTTGCTGATGTATTATGGGTTAGAAGTTGTGTCTAGACACAGGGGTTTCAGGATGGGCCCAAATGCCCTTTGTCAAGGAGCCCTTTCCTGGTGAGGTAAGTAAGGGAGGGTGATGTTCTATATCCTATAACAGAGTTTATTTTTCAGGCAATAATGGGCCACATATTAATATAGAGCCCTGCCAACGTAGAATTCTATTAGGTACATTTAAATTCACGTGATTATCAGTATCGTGGACTAGAATGAAAAACGAAATGTGGTGTTTCTAGCACCATGGGAAATGTCTTATGCTATAATAATGGTAAGCAAAAAAGCACGATACACAGTTGCAAGACTCTCAACTGTAAAAAACCCAAACTACGACAAAAGAAAAAAGTAGGAGGAAGGCTACATAACTCATCAGAATGGTTGCTTTTGGATCTTTTCTTAGCGGAGTCACCAGAAGCGATGCATGCCTGCCCTCCCCCCACCCCAACCCACGCACTGAATAATTTCAGTACTTTCCAAACTTGCAAATGCTGCGTAATGACTGTATAATTCTTTTGGAATCTCCGGGGGTAAGAGGCGCCCTCACCCTGACAGTCTCTCCCGAAGTAGCCCTTGCAGCATTTGGGGAGCTGGATCACCAGGGCGCACTGCTGCCGGCAGCCTTCCAGGTTCCTCTTGAAGGACAGATTGTACAGACACTTCTGCTTCACACCCTAAAGGAAAAGAGTGAACCATCCCTCACCTTCCCCCGCCTGGACTTGGGCTCTAGTCTGCCCCCAGTGGATTATCCGGGTACTGCCCAAATTGAAAATGGGGCTCAGTGGCCTTTACAGGGAATTCTTTTCTTGGAGGTGTAGATTAGGCAAATCAGTGGGGGAGGGTGTGGAGCTAGAAAGCTTTCCCCCCAGTCTTAAGAGGAAGGACTTGCTGATTCTTGGAGTATTTGCAAAAGGTGAGGTTGCTTCGGGAGGGAGTGCGGGAGAGGTAGCTTTCTATCATGGGAGGGGTGGCGAGGCCCCCAAATCATCAGCAGGGAGGGTATGAGTTACATTTTGTTTTGCGGGAGTGTTTTCGTTAGAGGTTTTACTAGTAGAGTAGAGTAGAAAGAACTTGGCTTTGGAATAAATAATAAAACCAATTTTAATGAGCATTTACTATGTGTCAGGCTCTGTATCCACATTTTAAAAACTGCTTTTCCTAATATCCACACACAACGTTGTTATTAGCTTAGTTTTACAGGGCGAAAACATAGAGCATGTCATTTGCCAAAAACAACCCACTGGAATTGGACCCTATATCTGTGAACTCCAAATTTCATTGGCTTAACCATTACTCTTACATTGCTTTCTGGGATTTACTGTTAGCTTTGCTCCTTGCTAGCTGTGTGGCCTTGGGCTGATTGCTTATGCTCTCTGAGACTCATTTTTTTTTTCATAAGTAGAGGTAAAAATAATGTCAAATAAGTGTTATAATGAACAATAGGGATGACGTATAAATACAGGGTCTGGCACAGAATCAGGGACATTTACAACAGCTAACAAAATGCAGCTATTATTTTTATCATTATAATCATTTTTGAAGTCCCTTCTAGGTCTATAAATCCCATGAATTTTCTAGACAGTGCCAGGTTGACAGGTTGCCTAGGTTACGAGTGTTCATCTCTCAACCCCCCGGCCCAGTTGTTTAAAGAATGACATAAATCACCATCATACAACACACCCACAGATGCAAACAGAGGCACACATGCTCACTCACACCTCACAGAAAACTGGGGTCTGATAATGAAATAAACCTATTTCTCTCTAAACATTATTACAGAATTAATAATTACCTTTGGTTTTGTCCACCTTGGGCAGCTGGGAGTATAGGTACAGCTCCCACAATCCCCCTAATATTCAAGAAAAGGAAACACTTAAAAATCAAGAATATCAGCAAACAGGAGGACATGTCCCTGGTTAATGCCTTGATGAGCTGACTAAGAACTTAAGTTTGATTAAGATTCCAGCTATGCTTAAGAATATAAAAGCAGACACACCGTAATTTAACCATGGAGAATTCGGAAAGTCTGTCTTGGACCTCAGCTCCTTGGCTTAGTTCTTTGAAGGGAAATGTTTGCTGTTACGCAGAGGTGGGCCAGGGCTGTGTCACACAGGTGTATAGCGTAGCGGCAGCAGAAAATGTGGATGTAGCTGTCGGTTCCATTACTAAGCAGCTGTGATACCTTTGGCCAGTCACACTCTTTGATCCTGCCTTACACACACACTGTAGGTCCTGATCTACAAAACAGGGATAATAGTTCTTTCTGCCCTTTGATCTTCAGGGGATTGGTGAGGCAAAGTGACTAACTGGAAAAATGCATGTGAATAAGCTTTGGAAGTTAAGAAGGTCACACCCTCTACAGTCAAAAGGAAAACTGGGTTTTTACCTCCTACTTTGGTATCCTAATAATTCGGGGTATGTACCTGGCCTGCAAGTTGCCAGGTAGTTGCCAAACTCAACTGGTGACAGACTTTGCCATGTAAATTGCTTTCCCACTTTGATGCTCAATTTCCAAATCTACATGATAGAGTTGATGATAATGACTTCTATTATTGGATTATTGTAGGAGCCAAACTCAATAAATGGATGAATGAGTGTGAAATGTGAAAATGTCATGTACAGTGCAGGGTCCAGGATATAAGTTCAATCAGTGTTATTAATGAGTGAGTAAATAAATGACGGTGTGGGTGGCATATAATGCTAGATTGAACCATGTGAAATTGCCAGTTTTGTAGTCACACCCTGTCCAATATGGTAATTTCATATGGTTTAATCTGGCAGGAGCTCAAAAAAAATGTCTGTTGAATGAATGAGTGAATGGCTGAATGGATGGGTGGGCTTGAAAGTGATTGGCAGAATAGCTGGCAAATGATTGGTACCCAACAACGGTTTCCTTAATGGTGAGGGAATAAATGGATTGTGTGGGCGGGTGGAGAAATGAAAATGCACGAGGCCTGTGCAGGGCGAGGTAGATGCTTGTTGATTCTGAATCTGAAGAACACTGATCTTTTGGGGGCCAGGCTCTCTGAGGACCTGCCCTCAGTGGTTTCACAGCAGGGTCTGTGCTGCATCATGAGAGCTGTTCTTTGGCCCAAGGTTCTCCTACCATAGCAAGAGTAGTGTTTTTAGCACTGACCGAGATATTGAGTGTGACAAAAGTGTCACAGCGGCCCCCCAGGGTGGGATCAATCAGTAGACAGTCAATGCCGTAGGCCACGCCCAGATCAAATAAGAGTTCCCGTTGTACAATTCTGCATGTTTGGTCATTCAGGAAGAGCTCACCCTGTGAGAGAGGGGGAGGGGGAGGGAGAGAGAGAGAGAGAGAGAGAGAGAGAGAGAGAGAGAGAGAGGAGTCAACAGACCTTCTCAGATTTCTCTTCTTCCCTTCCTAGGCCATATAATTAGCACCTGCAAGACTCAGAAAGAACTGATAAATATATCCATATGTCCATATATAGATATGTACATATCCGAACCACTCAGCATGTATTATGTGCCACGTCCTATTCTACGTGCTTTGCCTGTGCAAATTCTTTCAATCCTTACAACAACCCTAGGATGTAGCTACTATTGCTAGTATTCCCATTTACAGATGAGGAAACTGAGGCAATGAGAGGTTAAGTAACTCCCAAGGTCACGCAGCTAATAAGTGGTGCAGGCATTCATACCCAGGAAGTCAACCTCTGAGCCCACACTCTTGGCCACTCTGCAACATGGCCTGTACCAAAGTAGAAACAGTGGCAGTGGGGGGAGGGTGAGGGAGGGTGGAACAGGGATGACATGTCTGTGGTTCAGGATAAACTTCATTGATGTGGCCCCTCCATGTGCAGTAACCCAGTTTTCTTATCTAGTGCCAGCAAAGTGCCTGACACAATTTTCTTTCTGGGATATACAGGAAATAGACTTGAACTTTATAATGAAAGCAATCACTTCTTCTTCATATGTACTAGGCATTGTCAAAATTGTGCTTTAGATACATTATTTCATTGAATACTTGCAACGATCTTAGCACTTTCTTCCCTAAGGTCCTCCCAGCTAGTAAGTTGATGGATACATTTCCCTCACCCCCTCCCAGTGAGCAAAATACTTTTAGAAAGCTCTGTGAGAAGAAAAACAAGATACATCTCAGCATCTATTGCTAGGACAGATGGTGAGAATCAGTGGAAAGAATACTGGGAAACTGGGTAAATCTCTCCCCTTCCACTTACGTACTGTGTGACTGTGGGCAAGTCAGTGAACTTCTCTGATGCTGAATTTTCTTCATCAGGTAAATAGGATTAATGATTCCATTGCATAGGGTCATTATAAAGATCAAACTAAATAATACATTGCGAAGTGCTCTGAAAGCTATATTAGCACACAGAACAAGCATTGGGCATTCTTATGATGCTTGTTTGATAGGTGTCCAGTTTGGTCTATGGAGATATTACAGCTGATCTCGACAGTGTGAGGTACATTGGGATAATTTTCCAGAATTTGGAATGCAAAGATGCTAACATTCCTTATATTGAGTTATAAAGTCAATGCCTTTCCAATTCAAACACCAAAGGGATTCTATCTGGTCGTAAGATGTAAACAGGATGTTGTATGGGACTTCTCAGGAAGCTCCTTGAAGGGAATTCATCTGGGAGCTGCTTCCCTTTTGCCCGTCCTCCTTCCTAGTGCCTGGAAAGTGGACATGCTGGCTGGAGCCCCAGCAGCCATGTTGGACCTTGAGGTGACTTTGAGGCTGGAAACTTGTGCTACGGAGCAGAAATACAGAAGGAGCCACCCCACTGAGCCATCATCATACTAACTCTGGATTGGCCACTTCCAGACTTCTTTTACAAGAGAGAGAAACCTTTATATATTTAAGCCACTGTCATTCTGGGCTTCCCATTATATATAGGCTATAGGATGCAGCTACTATTATCCTATCGTAGCCTTTCATCGTATGGAATTACAGGAAGGTAAAATTGCTCAGGAACTAGCCAGAGCAGGTGAGAATCACAAACGTCCTCTCTGTTGGCTGATCTAGGAAGGCAGGGCCCAGAGCTGGCTCTCTCTGACTGTCAAGAGACAGCTGGAGATGAGGTCACAGTAGGGCTGGGAAGAACGGGAAAGGGATAGCAGTGCGCTTGCCTGCTCCAGGGAAGTGTTTTACACTGGAAAATAAATGCTAAATAAGTAAATAAGTAAGTAAATTAATTAATTAATTATTATAAATGCTAAAAGCTGCTCTCCACGAGTATAAGGGATGTGGGGCTCCTTGACACCTGCTTCCAGGGCTTGGGCTGGCCAGGATTTCTAAGTTTTTTCATATCCACTTACTTACTCTGAGGGGGACTACACCCCATGGCAATGAAGGGAAAGAGCTTGCTGTCAGCGAAGGTCGGGGGGGGGGCGATGAACATCTCCTTGAAAGGGCAGTGGTTGGAGAATGCTGATAATGTTATCCCCCACCTGGGTGATAATACTCACGATGTCACTGCCAGATCCACAATTCACACTCAGCTCTGAACCTTGCAGGGTCTTCCAGACAGCAGTTCTGGGGAGGTCCACTGCTAAAACCTATAGGTGCGAGGGTGGCACATTAATACCCCAAATTTGGGCTGAAGAAGGGCCCAAAGGAGCTTTGCCTACAGACCAAATTCAGACTCAAGTTTTTTTTTCAAGTGTTCTAATTCCAGCTTTAAAATGACAGTAGCTATAATCAAAAGGAATAATAATAATCATGGGCCCTCTAGGAGGTTGGAAATTCTGTAGGAAAAGTCTCCACCAGCTGGACCATGTTCCGTCACCCTTCTGTCCCCGATCTGTGCTTGGGAGTCTGTGGAAGATGCTATCTTGGTGTGGGAAGCCAATGGCAGGATGAGTGCATTAGGAAAAGGGCATAGGGCACTGTTATGGGTTGAATTATGTCCCCCCAAAAGTTTTATTGGAGTCCCGACTGCCACTACTTCAGAATGTGACCTTACTTAGAAATAAGGTCATTGCAGGTGTAATTAGTGGAGATGAGGTCATACTGGAGTAAAGTGGGCCCCTAATCCAATACGACTGCTGTCCTTGTAAGAAAAAGAGAGAAGAGGAGAATGCCATGTGCAGACACTGGAACACACAGGGACAAGACAGCCATGTGACAACAGAGGCAGCAACTGGTGGGATGCATCCACGAGCCAAGGAACCCCAAGGATTTCCGGCAACCACCGGGAACTAGGAGAGGAGCATGGAACCGAGTTTCCCTCAGAGCCTCGAGAAGTGACAGTCTTGTCAGCACCTCGATCTCAGACGTCCAGCCTCCAGAACTCTGAGAGAATACATTTCTGGTGTTTCAAGCCGCCCAGTTTGTGGTAATTTGCTGTGGAAGCCCTAGGAAACTCATACGGGTCTTATGAATTCACCGAAGTTAGGACAGTTGGCATTCTTGGATTGGACAGACTCACTCCTGGAGAGAAACATGCGTCCTAGCTGAGGACTCAGAGTGGCAGAGTTTTAGCAAGAGCTGCCAGGCTCCTGCAAGATCTGGATTTCCTGAGCACAGTGGCTCGGTTAAGCAGCTTGATTAGTTGTTCAACTAATTGCAGCTAATGAATCCGTCCTTTGCCTAGAAATTTTGGAACTGGGAGAGAAAGAATCCATCTGGAGGAAGTTGGGAACTGTGGTCCGCAGCCATTTTGCCATGTGAACGATAGAAGAGAAAGGGCCGGTTTGCTGTACCAGAGAGGAACGCGGCTCTCGGGTATTGGTTAAAGTTAGGGAAAAAAAAAAAATGCATGTGGGAGAAACAGCCAGGCGTGGCATACTGCAGGGGTCAATTAATGAGGGCCAGTCAGAGGAGGACACCAAGGGATGGGGGTCCTTAGGCCTCTGTGGAGGCAGAGACACACTCACCGCCCCTGGATTGGATCTCTCCGGGGCTTCCCTGCACCACATCTGCATGACATAGAATACCTTGGAATCTCGGATCACATGGAACTTCAAGTACTCCTTCAGCCTGTCCTTGTTTTCTTGTTTGAAAAGGAAATCCTGTTGTTCAGGGGGTAGGGCTTGGAGGGCTTGGTCCGTGGGCCAGAAGAGAGTGACTGGAGTGTGGATAGGATCAGTGATGACACTCAGCAAGCCGACATCCTGAAACACAGGGAGATGGTCAGCCATGAGGCAGAGGGTGGGCCTGAGAACCAAAGGCAGCTGGGGTGGGGGTGGGGATGGGGTGGGGCATGGTCCCCTCTGTGCCTGTCCCATGATACAGCCAGAAACTAGAGGCCCATCACACTGCAGCCATTGGCTCCCTCAGTTTTCCAAGAATAATTAGAAAAGCAAAAAACAGGAAGTCAAATTCTGGACTTTGTTAATAAGGAAATAGACTTTAATGATTGTCTTTTTAAAAAATTTTTTATTGTTGTTACTACTCCTGTCCAGATAGCTTAATTTCTGAAAGACCCATTCCGTACTTTTCTCATATTTCATTTAAAAAAAGTGAAACCTATCCAATACTGAGATGCTTCTGTATATTTATAAGAATTCTAGATCACTCAGACTCAAAACAGAAATTGCCAGATAAATGGGGAGGGATCATTTTGAGAGCCTTTTACAACCTAGGTGCATCATAATATATTTTTTCTTTGTAATTTTTCTTGTAACCCTGTGAAGTAAGCTTTATTATTTCCTTTCATTGAGCCCCAGAGAGGTTTCCTAGTTTGCTATAAAAGTCTATGTTCAACCAGACCTGACGCCCATGTGTGGCGGGGACTATAAATAAGATTTTGGGAGTGGGTGGGTGAGCAAAGGTGACTTGTCTGTAACATCCCTAGAGAGTCTCATGCTTGAACACCTTGAAATCTCCATTTCAAAAAGCTCCCCAGACAGCCTGAGCCCCAGACGATTTTGGAAGTTGCAAGCTTATAGACTGTGCTATGCGGGGCTGGGGGGTGGGGTGGGAGGTGGAGAGGGGGCAGGACTTCTTGGGGCAGGAGGAGGAGAACCCTGCTCTCCCTGAGTCTCCTCTGCAATCTTTGTTTGAACACCAAGTTTCTCTACTCAGTTCTTAGGAACAGTCTCTGAAGTCAGAAATACAAGGTTTTAAATGTAATTTCTGCCTGCCTCCCAGGCATAGATGCCCCAACTCTCTGTCTCAGCCTCTCTCCCCATCACTACAGTGAAGGCCATAATTCTGGATGTGAAGCACCTAGTTCAGGGATGGGCATGTCCTGGTTCCTGTCCCTCGTTGTAGCCTCACTTACTTCTGTTTCTAACTTGGCCAGTGTACACTATATAGCTGAACAAACTATACAACGTTTTGGAAATGGAGCGGCAGAGAATGACTTTGGTATCTAGGAAATTAGGACTTCCCCACACGGATCTCACAACAACTGGCTAGTGGCCCAAACAAAACAAAACAACAATAACAAACCAAAACAACAGAAAAAAAACAACAAAAAAAACCTTCCCCAAACCTTAGGCAGGTTATCCCCTGAGGTACCTTTTCTCCTAGGTTTTTACCTGTATTAAGTTGCTGAATTTGATGTAGCCATGGTTTATTGCCACTGTCGTAAGATTTTGCTGCCAAGATAATAAGAATGGGATTGATACCTTTCCTCATACAGTTCACAAAGTACTTTAACAAATGCTCAACAGAATAAAATAACATGGCAGGCACTATAGATTGGCTCATTGGCACCCACTCCAGCTCTGTCGTACCCTTGCATTTCTGTATTACAGAAGGTCAAAGACTATGCACTATATTTTCCCAGAGTGCCTTGCAGCTAGAGCCCCATAGTGATATAGGATCCACCAAGGAGAAGTGCTTGTACAAGACATTGGTGGACAGTAACAATAAGAGGTGGCAGTGGGTGCTGGCAGGGAGGTCAGATCTTCTGACAAGCACAATGGTGGAGGCATCTGGTATCCAGACTGCTGTGTCCTATGTGGTGAGGCTGGAGACGGGGCACTGGCAGAGCTGGTACAGTTGCAATAGCCCTGTGGGGAAATCAGGTCCTCCCTCTCCAGGGTCCCTGGGCTGCTATGTTCCTAGCTGTGCAGCATCTGAATTAGGCTCTCTGGCTTTCCAAGAGAATTGGGGATGTTAATATCTTAAGAAACTCCTTTTTATTTAAGTTAGGTATAGTGGATTCTGTTGTCTACAATGCAGATGCTGCCCAATATGAATAAATTATAATAAAAGTTAAAATGGTCCTTTCTGTCAATTAAGAAGGAGTTTTACTCCAGCTTTAGTTTTAGTGAGCCCTCCCCCCATCTATCTCTGTAATTTTCCCATCTTCCAAATCTATGCAAGACCACCTGCCCTTGTGGATACTAAAGAAAAACTGATGAAAAAAGGTGTATTTATTTTAAATAGACTTCCTTATGTCTTACTAAAAATAATATTTACTAGGCTTTTAATAGTAGCTTGAGATTAAAGCAGAAAAATTAAAATGTCTCAAAACGGTGCCTCAGAATCAAAATGGAGATAATAACACATTATTGGTATTATCAGGTACTCTGTGCTGAGAGCATGACAGCGAGTTCACCCACCAGAATCTTCCCAGAGGCGTCTCTAGGGGTGATAAGCAGGTTCTGGGGAGACAGCAATTTGTCTATGATGTGGATGATTCCATTGGTCGTGATGATATCACCGGATATGATCTTAGCTTTATTATTTATATACACCGTGTCCTGAAATCAACCAAAAGACAAAAAATGAGCACGAATAGAAGCAGACACAAAATTCCTTCTTTCAGAATGCTCACCAACATGTTTAATGGTCATAAAAGTGAACCGTGTAAGTAGAGCTGTGGGCAAAATCTGAAGATCCAAGTCAAGCATTTTATTTTTTCATTATGATGATAAAAAGGAAACTGAGACAAGGACCTACGTTTCACCTGGAGAAGTTCATAGCCAGTAATCCACCCAAACAGTCATTTCACTGTGACTCTCAAACACAAAACAACAAGCAGATCAAAACTGGCTTCTCGTTCACATGTGTCCTTTGTAATGCCAACCTTCCCTTCTGCCCCCACCACACACTTTTTTTTCCTTTGGCCATGAATTCTAGAGCCGTCATTCCTATCTATGTTGTGGGGAGGGAGTGAACCAGCAAGGTCAAGTGGCTTTGACCGAAACATTTCATCCCCCACCAGCTTCTGACCAAGGCTGCCCAAAGCAGTTCTCTGCTGAACGCCTGGAGCTGCCTTCCTCTGAGCTTGAATTCCAGCTCCACCATTTGCTGACTGGGTGACCTTGAACAGGTCACTTAATCTTGCTGAGCTCAGTTTCCTGATCTGTACATTGAAAAAATAATAGGATCTAGATTCTGGTATTATTTTGAGGATTAAAATGAGTTAGTACATATCAAACATTTAGTACCTGGTATACAGAATTCACTCAACACGCTAGTTGTTGTTGATGATGATGATGATGATGATGATGATGATTATTGTTACTGGTATTACTCTAAGGAAGAGGAGAAGAAAGAAGGCCCCAGGAAAATGGGCACCTTCCTGAAGTGGCCTCTTTTACCTGAGAGACAGAGATGACAATTGACTCTCCTTGGAGAGAAGTAGCATTTGGGGTCAGTTTCAGGTTTTCCAGGAGCAGCTGGTGGCAGGCGATCACGTGATACCGAAGCACCTGGGGCATTAGGCCCTGTCTGTCCCACTCTTTAACCTGTAATAGACCATCGGAGGGTTCCTGCCAGAGCCAGGAGCCCTTTGCTCCCACTTGCCCTTGTGCTGTCCTCTGCTCTGTGTGCTGACCCACCTCTCTCTCTCTACCCGGACTTTGGGGAGTAGGACTCAGGGTTTCGGGTTAGAGAGTGTTCAGGCAAGAGGGAGAAGGTGGCCCTGGTTCCTTTCCTGCTTCCACTGTAGAACCTCAACATGGAAGGGAACTTGGAGTTCCTCTGGTCCAGCATTTCACAGCACATGTGGCAAGGACCCCAAGTCCTCTGAGATGCTGTTTGAAAAAAGAGTTTTCTTGTGAACGATGCTAGGAAAGACTGCATTTGTTTTCCCCTCTTGGAAAAGGACCTGGGCCAGGTTTAAATCTTGAGTATAGAAAAGATCACAGTGCTTCTCTATTTGTAAATCAAAGTACAAACAATATTAATCATAAAGTCAGTGTAATAATGGTTTTCATTGATTTATGATAGCTCCTTTGATGCCTTCAAGAAAAGACTATCAAGTGTCAAATTCTTTCAAAAATTATTTTTGTGTCCCTGCTTTGCTGATGTTTAAAATATATGCACAGAAAGGGCTGGCCGAGTGGCTCAGTTGGTTAAGAGCTCACTCAAGAGTGCGAGCTCTGAGCAACAGAGTCACTGGTTCGATTCCCAGCCCGAGCTGAGTTGCCGCTGAGCTGCCAACAGGGGCCAGGATGGCTCAGCTAAAAAAAAAAAAAAAAAAAAAAAAAAAAAAAAAAAAGCCATGTTAAAATATATGCACAGAGAGGCAGCGTATGCGGTGGTTCAGAACACAGGCTCTGGGGTCATGTTTGAGTCTTTGCACCACCATTTGCTAATCATGTGACCTTGAGATAGTTACTCCTCTTAATGTCCTTGACTGTAAAATGGGGATAATAACAGCACTCAGCTCACAGGGTTGTCATGAAGACTAAATGAGTTAATATAGACCAGGCACTAGAAACAGTATGTGACATACTCAAGACATGTTTGCTACATTATTACATATTAATGGGCAGTCCAGCATGAAGAGTCCCAGTGAATGTAAGAACAGTAAAGGCTCTGATAAGCCCTGCAAGAAATGAACCTATTTAAATCCCTTTAATCCAGCATGCCTAAGTTTGGGGGGGGGGCGGGGGTGTCTATGGGAGGTTTGGATCATTTAAGAATTGTTGATTTTTCCCAACCTCCTACTCTGTTCAGGAATGTCCTTTAGAGGGTCTCTGGCCAGTGGTTACCCCAAACCCACTTGAATGCTTCCCCTGATAAGGGTCCCAATGATGAGAGGCAGCCCTTTGGACAGCTGGTCAGCTCCAGCTGATCCTAAATCTGCCCAGAAGCGTCTCCACGGTTGGTTCCAGGGCGACACCCAAAGGCTGTGCTCCATTCCCAGACGTCTTCCACCTGCCTAAGCTTCGTGCTTACCCGGAGTTCCTCATCGAACGCTGCAGAAGTAGGTGCGAAAACAGTGAAGGGGCCCGGACCCACCAGGTCTCGTACAGAATGCTCCTGTGGGAAGGAAGGGGGAGCCACAGACTTAACATAAATACAGGCAGGGGCTCAAACAAACAGCAGAGATGGGGGCAGAGCGGAGTGAACGCTGGATGGGGAGACCTGCGCTTTCATTAGTCTTAGATTCACATTCATTCAGATTCTTTGTCATTGAAATAATGTTTATCTGGTTATAAAGATGACATATGCTTGCTGTGTTAAAGACTTGAAAATATAGTATAAAAAAAATAATAACTGCCCATAACCCCACCACGGAGAAGCAACCCCTGTTATTTCCAGGTATTGTCTTTTCAGTGTCTCTTCCACATGTAAATATTCATTGGGATAATAATACAAATATAAGTAATAAGATGATTTGCTTCACTGTTCTAATTGTCTCCTTGCCGACACAGATCCTATGGTTACTAATATTTTCTTCTAGATTTTTTTCCTCTAGATTTTTATCTTTTATTTTTCAGTGTATCAAGAACTTATTCAGATGTACGAAGTGTAGAAAGATCTGCCATAATGTTTTCACCCAGAGAGTAAACCAGTTGCCCCAGTAATGCCTTTTTTCTCCCCTGGGAGGATGGCAGTTTTTTCATATACAGTAAAACCTTGGATTGCAAGTAACGTGGTTTGCAAGTGTTCTGCAAAATGAACAAACATTTCTAATACATTTTAATGTGGTAAACGAGCAATGTCTTGCAATACAAGTAGTTTGTTTCTGGAACAAATTGTGCTCGCAAGCCAAGGTATTACTGTACTACGTTCTTTTTTTTTTTTTTGAAGATTTTTATTGGGGAACTGGGGGATTGGAACAGCGCTGGGGAATTGGGAGAAGGGGAACAGACAACTTGCTGTCCTTTTGTTCTTCAGTCTAGTTGTGGAGGACGTTGCTTCACTTGCCCAAGTTGGCACCATCATTGCGCTCTTCCCGGGCAGGGCAGATCAGTTGCCGGCTTCTGGACGGCCACTCACAGTGGCTGCTGGCCGCTCACGCTGGCTGCTGGCTACACACGGTAGCCCATGGCAACCCACTGCAGCAGGGGCTGCAGCCTATGCCGTTGCCGGCAACCCACGGCAACCCAGCTCCAGGTTGAGCTGTTGTTCAGCATCTTAGCTGTGGAGGGCAGTGTCACTGGCCCTCATATGTGGGATCCGAACCGGGGCCCTCTGGCGTCCCAAACCAGCTCTTAACCAACGCGCCACTCGGCCGGCCCTGTACTACGTCCTTATGTGTAAAATGGGCCAGTGTGACATTTTTCCACTTGCTCATGCCACCCACTTGAGACCTGAGAGGTTCACAAATGACCAACACAGAGCCCATCCCAGAAACCCAGGTTCCCAGACTTCTTTCTATCCTCACCTACACCAGGATTATCCCATATGAGGCTCAAGCCCCAGCTCTTATAGTGAGACAGACACACATGCTCTTACCAGCAACTGGAAGAAATACTGAGAAGTTTTGGGGTCCTTGGGAAGCTCCTGGAAACCAAGAGAGGGCAGGCTCACTTCACATGAATTATATACAAGAGCAACATAGGGTTATCTCAGGACAGTTGCCCTAACACAGGGGTCAGCAAACTGCGGCTTGCAAGCCACAGGCTCTGAAGTAAAATTGAAAATGAAAATGAAACTATCATGGTTTCATTTATAAAATTTTAAAAGGATATTATTTACATAATGGTGATGATGTAAAAATATATTTTGGCTCTCTAATAATTTTTAAATTGTTGTGAGGGACAGGATTGGCTCTTCCAGGGGTCAGCAAACTTTTGAGACCCAAAGAGCCACATGTGGCTCGCGAGCCACAGTTTGCCGACCTCTGCCCTAAGATCAAGAGCATCTACCATCATTTCAACTGGAAACCTGTCATGGTGGACCTTTTCCAAGCCCCATCGATAAGCTTACAACCGATGACTAGGTGGACATACTATAAGTTCCAAAACCTTTCTGGATAAACCTTCTGATTTAGCAAAGAAAGGTTCAGTCATTCCCAGAAGCATCTGAGCTTTGAGTAGTTTTAAAAGTTCAAATATTTTTTTAAAAATGAGTGATAGGTTATGGCAGACTTAGTTTTTCTATTAACAAAAACATTGGATCAGCTAGAATGCTCTACTCCCTCTTTACATCAATTAAGGGAACGTCCACTTTATAACAGGTAGAAATTGGTAAGTATTGTACCCCGTCATCCTCTATGCCCAGTGTACACACCCATACACTCCAACCGCAGTCCATATCAGGATAATGCCTGTGTGCAGTGTGCTGTCACACACATTGTCTCATCAAGTCTTTTAACAACGTGAAATGAGGTCGGCACCATTATTATTTTCTTTTACAGATGAGAAAAGTGATGCCTACAGAGGTGCTGTAATTTGCTCAAAGTCACATTACTAATTGGCAAAGCTGAATTCAAACCCAGGTGTTTTGGACTCTAGAACTGTCAATCTGAATCACTACATTCCAGGTCAAATGAATTCCCGTGGGTAGATGAAACAGCTTTTCATTGCCAATTTATCTAAAAACAGTCTTTCACACTGTGATAGAGCTTTCCATGTTACAAAACTTACACATTCCTGAGACCTGGATTCTTAGCACAGTGAGGGAAGCAGAGTTTACTTCACGGAAACATGCTTTGTGTTACCTGATGGATGTTGCCACGGCAGGTAAACCCATCCCCGATGTAGTTTGGCTTGCAAGTACAGGTCCTTTCCTCTCTCCCAGTGTGATTGCACACAGCAAATTCACTACAGCCGCCATTTCTCTGGTGAAATTTCCAAGGGGCGGGGGATGGAAGTCAGACCAGTTAGTTTGCCACCTCTGCCAGTATTCACAAAGCAATTCTGTATGGGAATCTATTTTTGGTCTCACTCTCTAACTGATTGGTTTGCATTATTTGCCCTTCTCCTGAACTTGCTTTCTAATTCCCTGCAGTTGTCAGGGTCACTTTATTCACCCAGCCTTATATTCCAAGATGGCAGGTCCATCTGAGCAGACCTCCTGCTCTATATGGATGAGCCTAGAGTAGCCAAATGGGAAATTCCTCGGCACCTGGAGGTTAATGAGAAAGGCCCCAACCTTGTTTGACATTTCCTTGCTTTAGGCTAAACTCTGATCCCATCATAGCAAAGGTATCAGTCATTGGCTAAAAGGCAGTCGGTATAAAATAAATACAAGACATTGTTCTCATCGGCAAAGAGCTTATCAACTATGAAAGATGGAGCAAAGACCGAACATATCAACAAAACAAAGTGCAGTTCAAAACCGATATTCATGGGAACACCAAGAAGGGCTCTGCAAGCCTAAGCAAGGTTTCCAAGAGGAGAGGACCGGAAAGCTCAAGAAAAGAAATCTGAGGAGGTTGAGCAGAGAAGGACATTGAGAGTCTTAAAGGCCGGCTGCAAAGTCATCCTTCCCTCCAATCCCCATTTCAAAAATATTTGTGGAGCAAGATATTTCGGCCCAGGAGGACCTATTGCCCCAAATTCCCGCCTCAGGCTGACACAGCTCAGTGAGTTGTTCAAGCGAGCTGACTCCTGCAAGACTGCTAACCACCTCCTAGGGGCCCTGGGGCCTTCCTCCAAAACCTTGGATTTTACTTGCCCCAATACCCTGCATGTTCTAAGACCACCAAGATGGATACCCCCTTATCCCACTCTCCTGTTTATCTCAGTCAAAGGCAGAGGTCTAGGTGCGCAAGGTCACCTCCTGCCACATGGACGTGCCCCTCTACAGTGCTCTGTAACCCTGTGATCTGACCCCATATCCTGCCTTCACAAACCCCTCCCTGTGCCTTCTGAAACTCACCACCATTAGCAACCTCCCGACAGTCTCCACCTGTTCCCTGAAAGCTCTCTTCACCTTTTGCTAAAGAGGCATCTGTTTCCTGCCAACACTGTTTTCCCTGTGCCCACCCCCTCTCTCTGGAGAAGACATTTCATACCTTCGCTTCTCTCCTTAACTCGCAGTTACTGGCCCCTCATTCTCAGCGGACGAGCTCAGCTCATGCCTCATGGAGAACATCGACATAGATAAGTACCCTCTCAGCTTCCTGTCCGGAATCAGCACCTGCCTGGGCCTGAACTCACCCACTCCGCTCTCCTTATGTAACAAACAAGCTAACTACCAACCAACCAACTGACTGATCATTTACACGCTGAGTGTCCATCTCTTCCCCCTAAATGCAAACTCCTTAAGGAAAGAGACTTTGCTGCTTGGTCACTGATGACTCCCCAGTGCCTTAAATGGTACCCGGTATCTAGTGAATGTTCATCGACCTAGATGTGTGTCCTGCTGTGCAAGGTTGCCCACTGGGCATATAGAAGTGCACATGGTCTCTGTCTTCACAGAACCAGTCATTTAGTTAGAATCGCCAGACATAGACAAGTTCAAGTTAATTCATAGTAAAAGGCCACATGAAATAGGTGCCCCTGAGTGGCTCACTAACTGAGTTGGCTGACTAACTCCCTGCCTACCTGCCTGCCTGCCTGCCTGCCTGCCTGCCTGCCTGCCTACCTGACACTGTCCCTGCTCTTATGTGAGGCTTACCTCTCCACCTGGGGGCTCTGGGTGCCATTCCCCTTGCCCACTCATGTACTTTCTTCCTGAAACAATCCATTTTCTCTCCTTCAATATCAGCTTCCTTCTCTCTATTGTATCATACTCATCAGCATGAAAATACGCCTTAATATTACTCATCTTGCAAGAAAACAAACTTCCTTTCTTCATGAAAAGGATCCAGTGGGTGGTGGCAGTCACGGGTACAGATCAAAGAAGAGATGTCAGGTACAGGTGGGTTCATTGCATTAATTGCCAAGGCGAGGGGGCCATTTTTGGAAAAAGCGGAAATAGCCACTGGGAGAGCTGCTGTTAAAATAAAGCTGGCCATAGCACTAGTTGTAAGAGCTCCACATCCCAGCCCCCCACTTTCTGCAGCTTCTTCCCTATTGTCCTGATGCAATGGTTTCATGTGGGGATACTGCTCTCCCAAGGAGCTTGCCAGACCAGTACAAGGGGACAGAAAGTACCTCTCTTGGAGAGGAAAAGCTTTGATTTTGTGGTGTCTGTGCTATTCTCATGCCTACAGCTGGAGACCCTCAGGTGGGCAGTGATATGGATAAAGAAAGTAATGTGTTTGGACAGGGCCTTCTCTGGGGTCACTGCCTCGTGGGAGGAACAATAAGTGGCCAAGAGTGCGGCCTTCAAGTCAGAGAGAAGTGGGTTCAAGTTCTGGCTGTGCCACGTGCTCGTTCTGTGATCTTGGGTGAGGCCCTCACTGCTTCCAGTTTGCAGTGAGTTGAATTGTGGCCTCGCCAAAAAGTATGTCTATGTCCTAAGCCCTGGTGCCTGTGAATGTGACCTTGTTTGGAAAAAGAGTCTTTGCAGATGCAATTAAGGATCTCAAGAGATCATCTGTGATTAATTGGGTGGGCCTGAAGTCCACCAGCATCCTTATTAAAAAAGAAGACACACACACACACACACACACACACACACACACACACACACACACACCCAACAAAAAGAAAAGTAGAAAAGAAGACACAGACAGAGGTGAAGGCCACAGAAGACTGGAGTCTCCCCAACATTACAACTGGAACATGAGGGAGAGGTGAGCCTCAAGCCCATGATCTCCACCCTATAGAAGAGGGGCCGGAGGCACCCCGGGCCTGACCGCTGAGGCTGTGGTCCTTCATTACACTCACGGTTAAGCAGGTGTTGATGAGCGTGCAGACCTTCCCATCGCCAGTATACTTCGGCAAACAGTTACAGACAGCCTGTCCAGGAGGAGAGGGAAATGGGACACGTCACAGGCGGATTCTGCTGTTTCTCACGCTGGCATTCTGTGAGGTCAATGGTAATGCTAGGAGAGTCTATATTGGTCATATCTAGTCTATAATGATAACCATCATATTTTAGCATGTTTTAGCACACTTCCCTCTAGCACTGGGCTCCCCTACCTAGCCTATCTTTGTTGCCAAGATACTTTATTGCTTAAGACTTTGTTACCTTCTGTGGTCCCTTGCCCTCTGGGCACTCAGCTTTCTTCTCTCTTTGGTTGGTAAAGGTTCAGTTGCAAGGAAGCTAAGCTCTCGCCCACCCCTGTTTGTACTCAGTTCTTGCCCATCTCCAGCCAGGCTTAGCCCCAAAGCACCAGTGCGAGGAGACGCTACAGGATGGCTTTGGAGTCATACATGACAATCATCAGTCAAACCCACTGTTTGGCCAAGGAAGTCAGCTGGGCACTTCAAGGCGAAGGAGGGGACACTGACTATGGGGAGTTGGGGACTGATTCATCCCTGTGTCCCATGTGCTCTGCTCAGGAGCACCTGGGCGCAGGGGTGAGTGGCGCTGAAGCCCAGCTGTGCTCTGTTCACCAAGCTGTATGTCCTGAGGAAGGGACACCTGATCTTAGTGTGTCCCCCCAAGAGATGGCTTTTCTAATCCAGACGAAAGCTTCCCACACAGGAGAGGTGGCTCTGGTCTGACTCCCTGTTAGAACTTGAACTCATTGGCCAGGTCAGCCAGGGCCAAATTGTAGGGTTTCACTACTCTTCCTTGTCAGCCTTCATTGAGTCCTGATCTGTACTCAACCTTTAGCAAGACGCCCATCAGCCGCCCCTCCTGGGCTAAGGTCTTGTCTCAGAGATCAACCCTGCATCCTTCCTAGATCTGGAGGAGGATGTTGAGAGGCCCTGAGCACCAAAAAGCTTATAGGTTTTCACCACCCCACATGTAGCAATAAGAACTCTACTGATCCCCAAAATACACATAAGGTAGACCAACACTGACCGTTTTGGTTTTCCCTATGATTATATATGTAAATACATATCCATGTACACAATCTTTCAAAATAAATCTTTTTTTTCTTATTTTGGGGTGCCTTAGGCATTTTCTTGATTTACACATTGGGCACATTGGGAAACCTGACACTGAGGTCTCTGAATGGCTCAACAAGGTCAATAGCACATTCCCTGGGGAAATTAACTTCGTCATCCAGTTTCTGATGTATGTAGTCTCCTGCATGACCATTGTGCTGTTCAGAATGTGACAGAGACTGAGGAGGCGGAGCTTGGGTCCCCAGCCAGCAGCTTTCCCACCTGTGTCTTTCCACCCCATGACCTCCCCCATCCTTCGCACTGGAGCCCTCCTGTTTTCCCACCTCCCCAAACCTGCTCACTAGGGAGGTGCTGCAAGGTTCATTGTGTTAGGGGACATATGACTGACAGTGGGCCTAAAACGATTGTCCTCTGCTGTGGCACATGCGTTTCAGAGCCTCAAGCCAAAGAGAAATTGTGGGATTGTGAGAATCAGAAAGCTGACAGAAAGGGGAACATTGTTGGAGACCTTCTAGGTGCTTCTGGAACCATGTGGTGTCTGCAGATGCTGCCTTCTCCCCACTCTAGGAAAGCCCCTTTTCCTAAGTACCTTTTGTCTCTTCCTCCCATTTCTCCTTATTCTCAAAGAAGGGCCTCTTTGGGAATTCTTTCAGAATTTCTCTTAAAGTATTTATTTTCCCGCTGTTACTCCCCAGAGCTCTGTTCTCAGCCCCTGTTTCTCAGGCCTGCGTCTAAAGACCCAGCAGTTTGCTCCTAAGAAATCTTAGCCCTCGCCCCAGAGGCGGAGCTCACCTGGTTGGGTCCTGTCTGCGTGCACTCTGCATTCCTGTCACAGCCACCATGGTTCTCCAAACATGGGTTGATCTCTTTAAAACAGAAAGGCAACCTCTGGCATGAGAATCAAGCCTCAGTTTCAAGTAAAGGCATCTTGAGGGAGCAGCCAAGATGGTGAACTGACTGAGGGGGAGCAGGTATCAAAGTGTGATTCAGTTTTCTGACAACTCTGAGCTAGATGTCACCCAATGAGGAGGCTACCAGCTAAGGTTTTTCAAAATTAACTCTCTGGGATGGGGCTGCACCAGCAGAGGCATAGTTTGTGGGTTTGAATCTGTTCTCTTATTGAATGAATATGAGCGTTTGCTGCCAAGGACTTGAAATAATGGAATCTTGGAATCCAATCCAACATGCTGTGAATGACAAGATTTAGGAAATAAAAAAAATCATTGCCACCATCACACTATAATTGGTTCAGGGAAGAATCATCAATAGATGCTAAATTTAGGAGGACATGTTGATGAAGAGCAGGGTATTTGGTTGGCGTTAAAGTGTGTCCCCACTGATTGCTTATTAGTAGTAAAGGGGAGAAAAGTAACTGTGCCAGTGGAGAAATCAGCACCTTGACCAAGTGGTCAAAATTAACATCGCAGATGAGAGGCACTTGGAAATCACAGGATTCCAGTGTGATATCCTGAGAAGGACACAATGTCACTAGTCTGATTTTGGGCCTGGAATGCAAAATCTGAATATAATCATGAAAAAACATCAGACAAACCCCAAATGAAGGACATGCTAGCAAAGAAAAAGTAGGGGTGGTGAATGATATTATTCCAAAATGTGAGCATCATGAAAGATAAAGCAAGGCTGAGGAACATTTCCAGGTGAAAGGAGACTAAAGAGACGTGATAATTAAATGCAAAACTAGACTGGGTTCTGCACTGGAGGAAAAAATGTCAAAAAAGGGCATTATTAGGTCAATTGATAAAAGGAGAATACAAATGGTAAACAGATTACAGTATTACATCAATAATAAATTTACTGAAGTTGATAACTGTGCTGTAGTTATGTAAGAATCTATCTGTTTTCTCAAATATGCACAAGTATTTAAGGATAAAGATCTATCTATCTATCTATCTATCTATCTCAAATAGTTTAGAAAAAATACAGACACACACACAAAGAGAGCAAAAAATTAAGCAAATGGGGCAAAACATTAGTAATAAGTGAACCTAAAGAGCAAGTGGGTCCTTTTTTGTACTATTCTTACAACTCCTCTGTGTGAATTTATTTTTACAACTGAAAAGCTAAAATTTATACAACTTACAATGGCATACCTTTACAGAAGAACAGCATGTAGCCATTAAGGTAATGATTTGGGGGTATACTTGTTTTCAGGGAGAATTGTTCTATCATATTATTAAGCAGCAAACATTATATGATACTTTTTTTTGTTTTAAAAAATACATGTATACACAGCAAAATGGGGGTAATACAACAGTAGTCAGAGTGGTTACCTCTAGAATTTTTCCCCCCCAGACTATATCTATCCTCTAATTTTTCTATATTGAGAATGTGATACTTGTATAAAAAAAAGAACTAATGTTTTAAAATTCAGTCACCATCGTAATGTTTAATTGAAAAAAGTTTCCCCCCTTTCTGCTTCCAAAGTGATTTTTGGACACCACACACCTTCATACCCCTGTGGTCATATTTCCATACCCTCATACCTTCCTGCCTAGACAAACCAAAAGGTGATCCCAACAACACTCACGTATTAGGATCATATAACAGGGCTCTGACTCTTAAACCGTTGCCACCAGATGGACGGGGGAGGGCACCTACCTATGCATACGATACCATCGCCAGTATAGCCTGCCTTGCACACACACATTCGGCTTCCTGGGGTGGTTCTTTTACAGTCTGCCTTGACAGAGCAACCTCCGTTGCTGATTTCACAGGCATTGATTGCTATAGAAGAAAGAGATGACACAAAACAGAGAAGGGGGAGAGGGGAAAAAACATTGATGTATTTTTATTTGAATCATTGAGAAATAGAACATTTCAAAATGGCGGGCATTGGATTAAATATAGATAATTCAAAAGAAATCAAAGCACCAAGTATCTTCACTGGTGAATTCTACCAAACATTTAAAAGAGAATATATACCAAATTTTCACAAACTCTTCCAAAAACTAGAAAAGAAAAGATTTCCCAATTAATTTTATGAAGCTAGTATTGCACTGATATCAAAATCAGACAAATCCATCACAAGAAAACTATCCCTTATGACCAATATCCCTTATGAATATAGACACAAAAATCCTCAAGAAAATACTTGCAAATCAAATGGAGCAATATATTATATAAAAAGGATTATACACCATAACTAATTGGGATTTATACAGGAATGCAAGGTGGTTTAACATCCAAAAATCAATGTAATACAGCATATCAGTAGACTTAAAGACAAGTACATAATCATCTCAATTGAAGGAGCAAAAGGAAAAAAATTCAGTACCTTTAATGATAAAAACACTTAACAGACTAATAATAGAAGGGGACTTCCTTAACCTGATAAAGAATGTCTGTGAAAAACCCACAGTTAAAATCATACTTAATGGTGAAAAACTGAGTGCTTTCCCCCATGATCAGGAATAAGACAAGGATGTCTACTCTTGCCACTTCTATTAAATACTGTAATGCCAGTTCTATCCACAGCAATTAGGCAAAAAAAGGAAATAAAACACATCCAGATTCGAAAAGAAGAAGTGGGACCATCTATAGGCAGGTGACATGATATTATATATGGAAAATCCTAAGGAATCCACTAAAAACTATTAGAACTAATAAGCAAGTTCAACAAGATTGCAGGATGCAAAATCAGTAGGCAAAAATCAGTTGTATTTCTATATAGTAGCAATGAGCAAACTGAAAATTAAATTAAGAAAGCAATTCCATTTACAATAGCATCAAAAAGAATAAAATACTTTGGAATACATTTAACAAAGTATAAAACTTACACTCTGAAAACTACAAACATTGCTGAAATTAGAAAAAAAATAAACCGACCTAAATAATGGAAAGACGTTCCATGTTCATTGATTGGAAGAATTAGTATTGTTAGGTGGCAAATTTGATCTACAGATTCACAAAATCCTTATCAAAATCCCAGCTGACTTCTTTGCAGAAATTGATAAGATGATCTTAAAATTCATATGTAAATTCAAAGGGCCCAGAAAAGTCAAAACAACATTGAAAAAGGAAACAAATTTGAAGGACTCACACTCTCTAATTTTAAAACTTACTACAAAGCTTCAGTAATAAAGACAGTATGGTACTAGCACTGTATACACACACACACACACACACACACACACACACAGAAGGTGCCAAAAAAATGCATACACATTTTAAGAAAGGAAAAGGCTGTATTAAAATTATGCTGATGGTAACCACTTTGAGCACCTCTTGTAATTGCAGAAGTCAAACGTGCAAACGTGACTTGTATTCATCTTTTGTTATCTGTATATATTGAATATTACAATTTTAATAGTTTTTTTCTTTCTTAAAATGTGTATACATTTTTTTGGCACCGTGTGTGTCTATCTATCTATCTATCTATCTATCTATCTATCTATCTATCTAATTGACTTGAGAGTCCAGAAATAAACCCATAGTCAATTGATTTTCCACAAAGGTGCCAAGATGTTTCAATGAGGGAAAGAATAATCTTTTCAACAAATGATGCTGAGACAACTGGATATCCACATGCAAAACAACGAGTTTGGACCTCAACCTCACAACACATACACAAATTAATTCAAACCGGGCCACAGACCTAGATTCACTTAGAGTCTCAAGGTGTGTGCTTTGGCTTGGCCTTCACTTACCATGTGACTTTGGACAAGCCACTTAATTAACATGAACTTTGGTGTCCACCTATGCAGGGGACTCACATCTAATATTGCATGTGAAAGTGTTTCAAAAATGTTGGTTGTTCTCATATTAACTTGTGTCTTTTGTTTTTTTGCCTTTCCTCCCCAAAATCAAGGGCAAGAAAAATATTCGTTATTTATTCTTTCCAGCTGTTTTCACTAGGATACTGTGCACATCCCACTGCAGGAAACACCTGGGACCAGGGTCAGGGTACATGCATGCTGGGAGAATCCCTGGGATAAGATATTCTAGGAAGCAGATTGGTGTGATCATTGGCCAGCTCAGCCACAATCTGGACTGGAGCCTGCCTGGACAGGTGCTCCAGAGAAAAACGACCCTAAGTTTCCATTTTTCTAGTACCACAGGTGTTGGGCACCATAAGAGTATGGCTTACGTTTCTTGAAAGTTGTGCCAGGGCTGTTCTAAGCACTTCATATTAATTCAGGTTATCATTCAACCATTCAGTGAGAGAGGTTCTCTTGCTATTTACAATTTACAGATGAAAAAATGATGTAGAGCAGTCAAGTAACCCCCACAAGGTAACACAAATGACAAGAACTTAGATTCAACCCGGGGAGTTGAATGCTGGAACTGTTTTTAACAGCTGTATCATTCTGCCATTGTACACAGGCAGGTCATTTCATCCCCAAGCCACTGGCAAGGGAGATAGTTTTATATGCTTACTTTATAAATGAGCTAAGGGGGCAGAGAGCAGTTAAGAGACCCACCCAAGGCCATGTGAGTAGTAAGAGGGAGAACCAGGCAGGACTCAAGCCCTTTTGTGTCCCACTCTACGGTCCCCATGCCCAGGCCACCCCCGAGGTCAATCAAATCAGTATTTTTTAAAGCACTCCAGCTGTGGTCAAGACTGTGAATGGCTGCTTGGAGAAGAGAAGAGGTGCAATTGCTCTCCCTCCCTCCCGCCCCCCCCATTCCAAACCACGTGCCCGTCCCTAAACAGTGGTTTCCTGCCCCCTGGGCACAATCAGCAGCCTTGTTACACCCAGTTCACCATCGATAGCTGGTAGCAGGTGCCCATTCCGTCTGCAGGAACACAGGCCTCTCCACAGCCCTGCTTGCCTCATTCCCCGGAGGTAAATTTCTCCTTCACTTGCCTGTGCAGACCGTCCCGTTCCCTTGGAATCCTGCCGCACATTTGCATGAGGCTGTGCCATCCGGGTTGAGAAGACAGCTGCAAGGAGAACGGGCAAATGCTGTTTGTAGAAAAAAGCAGAACACCCACCCCCCTCATCCCTAGCATCGCAGCTCCTGCCCCAGGAGGTACTCAGGGGTCCTGCCTAGGGCTCAGGAGGCGACACCATTCCTAGCACGGCCCTGCCACAGGCGGCTAAAACTGCAGCCATTTGTCAGGCACACCAGAGTGGGTACGTATATGTGGGCAGCGGCCAATCATCAGAGTTACCTGTGTGTGAGGGGGGCGTGCTTCACACATTACTTCACGTAACTTATACAATATCCAATAGCCCTGACAAGTAGATATTATTATCAAATGTTATTATTATTCTTATTTACAGACGAAGATGCGGAGGCTTACAGGCGTTAAATAACTGATTCAAGGTCATGCAGTCAATGACAATGACAGAGGCTGATTTGAATTCACGTCTAACTCCAGCTAGGAGGCTCTTGATTAATTAACCCGTGAAGCCCCTCTGGGAGTTAGGAGCATGAAACTGAAGTGTGAAGAAGTAAGGTTTCGCTGTGAATCGGCAGTAAGGTTTAAGGAAAGCAAGAGGCCCACGGGCTCCTTCTGCTTCTATGAAAGAGTCCCTGTGACTTGAACTGGAGGTAACAGCTGGCATTTTGCTAACATGCCAGGTGACTCCGGTGGCAGCTTGTTCAAAAGGTTGGGTCTGGCAAGTTGATGGTGGCTTCTTCAGAGATATTTCTAGTTTCATATTAAATGTATCCTCACTCCTCAGAAAAGGGCTCAGAAAACTACTCCCCTGAGGATAGGACCTGGGGTGCACACTATTAGGGAAGAACCCCCTTCGCATTGTCCCCACAGGAGGCTCAGAGGGCACCTACTTGGCGCTTGTGTGGCACGTTCCATTGCAGTCATCCTTTGTGATCTCTGGAAAAAAAAAAAAGAACCAATGGCTTTGTCAGCCCTCTTTTATGAAACCTCACTCAAGAACTTTCTTTTAGTATTTGGCGCTAGGAAAAGATTTACTTTCTCTGTACTAAATAATATGTATCATGTTTACTATGTAAAACTATGTGACCATGCAAATATTTTTTTTACATTGGCTGCCAGGAATCTGAAGGTCAACTACACTGGCAGACTGTCTCCTGGGTGCTGGCCCTGTGCTGGGTGGTGAGGATGAAGGGGTGAGTAGAGCACAGTATCCTTCCTTAGGGCTGCGTGTTGCTGCGAGTCCCTCCCTGGTGCTTTACTTTCCATCTTATTTATATTTCCCACGTTCCTTATACTTTCTAGCTTTTCATCATTTTATTATGAAGTGATATAAACAAAAAACTACCTAATTATAACTAATATTAAAAGTTTTGTTTGTTTGTTTGTTTTCTTTTGTTTTGCATGTGCAGAAATAGCCCAGGGCCTGGCATACAGGAGATACTATTTGTTGAATTCATTCCTAAATTTCCTGGAACAGTATACTTTCTTGCTCTTGGATGCCCAGTTTTTTGGATGCTTCTGGCAGGGAAGGATCCAGAAAGAAATGGGTAGAGATGAAGAACGAATACCATTCGGGCAGGATGCTCATGCTAAGAGCTTTTGGGAGAGAAAGCTCATTAGGCCTGGCAAGTCCCACAGAAGGCCCTGAAAACAGGCTGCCAAAGCGGTCTGTTTTGTGTCAGCAGTAACATTAACAGGCGTGAACGGAATGGAGTGGATGCAATGCAACTTCGTGCCTTTATGCGTGCTCTAACCTGGAAGTCGGTTTCTCTCCATTCACTATGTACTGAAATCCCAACCATCTCTTAGGTTCTCGTCTCTGAAACCTACTCTAAACATCTGAGCCAATGTCAGTTAATTGGTGGTGACTACATGGAGTGCTCTTTTGAGAAAGATGTGGCACCCCTACCTGGCCTCGGTGGGAAGGATTGCAGCGATTGATTAGTCTTGTCTGCAATCGGCTTAGGAGAGAGGGGTTTGCACACAGACAAAGGAGTTGCCTTTCTTCTTCTAATCTAGAGGCTCTTTGCTCTGCACTCCCATACCATCATTTTGTGAACGCTATTCAACATTTATTTCCATTATTAGGCTGGAAGCAGCTTGTGCAGAGTGTGCACTGGAGATAAGGCTGGAAAACTGGGCAAGTGCCAATTAGTGAATAGCTTTGTACTGCAAGGTGAAGGGATTAAGAAATACAAATTGGTGGTTACAAAATAGTTACGGGGATGTAAAGTACAGCCTAGAGAATACAGTCAGTAATGTTGCAACAACTATGCATATTGCCAGGTGGGTACTAGACTAATGGGGCAATCACTGTTTAAATTATATATATGTCTAACCATTACGCTGTACACCTGAAACTAATATAAAATAATATTGAATGTCAACTGTAGCTGAAAAAAATAATTAAAAAAAGACATTCCCTCCCACCCCTTCAAAAAAGAAACAAGCTTTGTACTCCTCCCTGCTAAGGTGTTTCCCCTGGAGACAGTGAAGAATCACAGCAGGTTGTCAAGTCCTGGGGAGGAGGTGAGAAACGTGATCTTGCCTATTGCTACAGACTGAATGTTTTTGTTCCGCCCGCCTCTCCAGCCTATATGTTGAAACCTGTCCCCAATGGGATGGTATTGAAAGTGGGGTCTTTGGCAGCTGATTAGCTCAGGAGGGTGGAGCCTTCATGAAGGGGATTCGTCCCTTATGAGAGACCCCAGATAGCTCCCTTGCCTCTCCTGCCATAACACAGGAAGGTGGTAGTCTGCACCCCAGAAGGGGGCCTTCACCGACCATGAACATGGACTTCCAGCCTCCAGAACTGGGAGATATTAACTTCTGCTGTTTATGAGCCAACCAGTTGATGGTACTTGGTTATAGCAGCCTGAACAGACCACGGCATCTATGCTTTGGAAAGTTTTCTCCGGCAGACATGTGGGGTATGGAATGGAGGGAAATACGACAGGAAGCAACGAGACGAATCACAAGGCTACTGGTGAGAAAAGGAGCGAGAGGAAGGATGAGACAGACGCGTAACGACGTACCTGTGAAATGCTCATTGCGGCACTGTTTATGATAGCAGAAAGTTGGTTTAAAAAGCGTGGTACAGTCATATAAATGGGATATTACGTAGAAATTAAAAAATAATGGTACTTACCTATATTTATGCACGTGGGAAGATAGCCATTATACATTGGGATGTGAGAAAGTAGACTACAAAACAGTATGCAGAATATAGTCCTATATGCATATATTTGCATACCTATAAAAATGTTGGAAGGCTAATACAAAATATTAATGACAGCTTTTTCCTGCCTTGGGAGTATGAGTAATTTTTATTATCTTTTTGTCCTGCTTTTCTTTACTTTGCAGACTTTTTGCTGCAAGTAGGAATTACTTTTATGGTTCAAGGAAGAAATAAATAGGTCATTTCTATTTCAGAAAGAAAAAAAAATGTAGCCGCTGAAAAGGGAGGCTAAGAACAGATCATTGGTACCAAGGGGGTCGCTCTTACCACTGTCGCATTTCACTCCCCGCCAGCCAGCGTCACATTCACAGGAGCCGTCCCCCGAGAGTCCTTGGTTGCATCTCCCATGAACACAAGAACATGCTAAGTGGAAAAACGCCCACACATTGTCAGACTGCTGACCTGTGGCCAATTACTCATTACTAATCATTTACTACAAAGCTTCGCTTCAGTGCCCTTAATTCTCTACCCTCGTTCCTGAGAATCCTTGTCTTTAATGGAGGGCTGGAGTCACAGGAAGCACAGGGGCCTAGGAGGTGGAATCTAGCAGGCTAACAGCGAATCAGGTCATGCTTCGACAAAGGACCATAGTTTGGGGACAGTGTAGCAGTGTGGAGCGGTGACCCAAGCAGTGAAAATGTCCTCAGCTGAGGTTATCTGAAGACCCAAGGTTAGTGTGGTTCCTAAGAGCGGACTTAAGAAAGAAGCCCGTTTGATACTGTGTTTCTATAAACCTGGCATGGCACTACCCTTATCAACAACATAGAAATGCCGATTCCTTGGTTACACAGCAGCCTCATGAGCCTCTTTGAGGATGAAAGCTAGGGATGCCTTCCCCAGGTAAAACCATTCAGCCCGTGAGGGTCACCTGTGGGTCCCAGGTTAGGAGCTCCTGCACAATTGCAAGCAGATAATTCTTCCACATGACATGGAAAAAGATTGGCACTATAATGCCAATTATATTTTATGTGACCCAAACAGAGACAGCAAGGTCAAGTTTATGGCTTTTAGTACAAGGTAAAAGACATGCTTTGTTTTCTCATCATGGATTAGGAAACACCTCCTCCCAAGTCAGCCAGGTGTGTGTCCCTGACAAGAAAGCCAGTCTGAGACGGTGCAGATGACTTGGCTCAAACAGATCATGATTTTTGTGAAAACTACTTAAAGCACGTGGCTTGCTGAGGGGAATCAATAGAGTGATCTTTGTACAAAGGACAACACGATTCACGAGCAAGGCTTCAGAGTCTAGCAAGGTGTGCATTTACATCTCAGTCCTGGCTCCCATCGGGTGTGACCTTGGGGGATGTCATTCAACCTCTTTGCCTTAATATCCTCATCTGTAAACTGGGCGTGACAACACCCAAGGACATAATGTCCCTGTGTGGATTAAATGAGACAATGTGCACACGTCTGCTTTTCAAACTGTCAACCAAAGTCCAAAACTGATTGTGTGACTATGAGGACCAGTGAGCAACAGAAATGTGATTGGGTTGGGGATTGTCAATGAGCAGACTGGGGGTGGGCTGGTAGGTCCAGGTTAGTGACTGAAAAACTCTGGAAACACTACCCTGTGCAAATTACCAATGATCTTATAATTCACATGGTAATAGAGGTAGGATTTCAGCCAGTCTGCAGAGATAGGCCAAATTACCCTTCTGGTGTGGGAACTGGGGGGAGCGTGCGGGGCACACCTTGGTCGCAGTGGATGCCGTACTTGCCCTCCGAGCAGGTCTCACAGGCCGTCCCGTTGAAGCCCTTTCCACACTCACATATGCCCGTGCCGTTCATTCCATCCAAGCAGATTCCGTTTCCAAAGCAGGTGTTCTCGGCATTCCCGGGGCAGGGCTGGCACTGGGGGCCAAAGAAGCCCGCACAGCATTCTCTTGTCTGAAACGGAAGGACAAGGCTGAGGCTACACATCCGTCTGCTGGTTTCGTCCAGCCGCAGCTTAGAAATCCCGCTGGTGGGACTGGCTGTGTCCCCTGAGCTCTGACCCCACCTTGTAAGGGTTCTGAGAACCCCTGAGCATGGGGGAGGCTAAGCAATTTCCAGGGTGTGAGGAATAGGATGGAGGCCTCCACCGAGGAGGGAGGAGAGGGAAAGGAAACAGGCAAGGAAGAGAAGAGGATGAAGAAAGGTGAGAAAGTGGGAGGGGCAGCAAAAGCTAAGCATAATGCAAGTGCCACCGGAGGGGTGGGACACCGAGTGGCCCTCACCACCCCCAAGCCTGGCCCCTTCACATTGTGTGTTATTTCACCTGAACCATGCAGGTGAGATCTTTAGCACTTAAAAAATGAATCTCTTGTAGGTTAGAGAAACCCTGCAGGATGTCTGCTTATCTTGGGCTGCCTTTATTCTTGAGAGCGTCAAAACACAAAATCTTGAGAGCATTAAAACACACAATCTGGAAAATCTCCTGTGGTCTCAAGCTCTGCAGCTTATGAGCTAAACCACCTCGCCTCTGTTGGATAGGCAGAGGTTATGTCTACTCTGCTGGGGACGAAGCAAGACAGGAAGTTATGAAGAATTCTCCTGCAGATTCCAAAGCAGCAGCCCAGGGGTACTCAGCTCTGCGGTCCTGTTTTCTGAATGCCCAGGGGCACATTTTTGTTCCTTAGGGAGCTGGTGTCTTCTGTCTCCTTTGCTTACGAGCATACTCACAGGACATTTTACCCTGGTGTGAGAACAGGCAGGGCCTCGGTTTCTCAGTCCCTCCTTTTCTTCATCATGTGATTGGCTATTGCAGAGTTTTCCTATTTGCCGACTCACTGGGCTGTCTTTAGTTTTATCGCTATCACTACCACTTTGAATGACAATGATAATGAAGGTAATGAGTAGGAAGAGGAGATGGTAGAAAGCACACATGCAAAGGCACTTTGAAAAATACAACATATGATTAAATTTCCCGGTGCCACTGCCATAATAGAAGGGTGATTAAATCATTATACTCACAATGACAGTTTTCACACATTTTGGTTGGCACCCAATGAACACGGATCGCTTGCCCATGAAATAAACGGTATAAATACATTTCCTCATCTCTTCACCCTATGAAATAGTAATGATTACATCAGCGCCTCTGTGAAGAAAAAGTTTTCCAATCTCTAAAAGCAAGTAGGTGGGTGACACATGGCTGTCTCTCTGACTGAAATGTTCTGGAAAGGGAGGGTGATGGTTTCTTGGAGCTGCTTCATAAGAAAGAAAATACGCAAACAGAGTTGGCTGCCAGAACACCAGGTGGAAAAATCCAAATAGTTGTACCATAAGGTAATACTCTGTAAAAATAATTTTTCTCTAGATGACTAACTCAATTAGAAAGAATCGTAGAATAAACCAGACAAAAATGTCCTCCGGCACAACACGTTGGTTGATCTGAAACTTGATTTCTATCTATGTATTGATTTCTATTCTGCCTTGGTCTGAGAGAAGATTAAGCCTGCTTACAAAAACCTATAAAATACAAGATTAAATTAAAACTCAAATGAGAGAATCAGCGTTGTTACCATTACAAATTATCATCATGCTATGGAAGGCATTTGGGTGTTTATTCCTTGGAATGACTGAAGCATTAGAAGAAGTAGCTTTCAGAATAAATATCTACAGGAAACAGATTGGTAACTAATGCAAAGACATGTCCCTCTCCCCCCTCCGAGTCTGCCATCTGTTTCTTAGAGAAAGTTAGCTGTCACTTTAACTGTAAAAGGAAATCAGGCAGGTGGAACTCATTCAGGTTGGATATGGTTTTGCATTGGGAAGCTGCCTTCTCTGATAAGATGTCTTACTCCTATCCTCAAGTGGCTATTGGGATATGTAGAAAGTGAACAATCTCTTCTTGCATTGTGCGTTGCTTGAAAAGAACGCACCCTCCCCTGCCCCCCACTTTTCATTTGTTTATTAGTTAGTATTTTGCTTTGGTCCAAAACAGATGGATTCAAGACTTTAGAAAGATGCATACAACATAAGAAGGTAAAATGAAATTAGAACCAAGTGAAGGAATCAGGGTAGTGAAAAATGAGGTACGCTTGAGATTCATTTTCTAATTTGGAGCTCCTTTTATCGAAGCAGAAAAAATACGTACTAGTGGTTTACTTCCAAATGGGCAGATCGGTTGCTGGGGACACTTCCCACACTTTCCCTGGGAAAAACAGAGGCAAAGAGAACATTTCATGGTTATTGTTTTAGTGTAAAATGAGGCTGCAAATATTTTCCAGATCTTGGAACTGACAGTTTAGGATTGAAAATCCTAAAACTTGATAGAATTGAAAATCTAAAAGATATGAGGGAGGCTCATCTGGTCAACCTCTTCAATATTCTTCGAGACAAGCACTTGAACTACTTCAGGTCTTGGATGCTTGAGCGTCGCTCCCCTCCACCATGTTCTTCTGATGCGAATAGTCCCTTAATGTGTGGAGGTCTTATCTCATTTGAATCCCAATTCCTTTAACAGCATCCCTCATTTATTGAAAACCCATTATGTAGTGAATGGGGCCAGATTCAGTTCCCAGCCTCAGAAGCACATGAGGGGTGAGAGTGGAGGTAACATATATTAGAGCACAGGTTGAGAATGATGGACACTTTTAAGTGTGATCAGCTCCTATAATAGGCAGAGGCCACCAGCCTGTCTCGTTCTTAACTTAGCACCTACCAGCGTGACTACTGTGGCTATTCAGAGTTCTGGCTCTGGAGACACACTGCCTGGATTTGAACTCCTTCTCTGCCCCTTGTTAGCTCTGTGAACCTGGGTGCATCCCTTAGCCTCTCTGTGGCTGGTTTTCCCCATTGGTAAAATGGGGATAGTAATAGCACCTACTTTGTAGGGTGCTGTGAGGGTTACATAGGTTAACACATGAAAAATGTTTGCAGCAGTGCCTGCACATCAGTGCTTAGTAAATGTCAGCACTTATTACTATTACTGGAAGATCCTGCACCATCCAATGGACTGTAGTGAAAAGTCTCCATTAGTGAAATTACCCATTTTCAAATTGTCTCTCCTAGTAGACCAGGCTTGGCCATTACCTGCCATAGGTGCACTGTTGCCCCCTCCCTGTGTCTATGTTCGGCATGGCATTTTTTTCCCTTTTGAGGAAGACCATGGCTTCAGATCTAGCTCCCCATAACCCACTAGGCAGCCTCTTCCAGGCATTCAGGGTACACCTTATTGTACGAGAGTGTGGGCCCTTTGAAGGCAGAGGCCATGTCTTATTTATCTATGTGGAGCCACAGCCGGGAACGCTCCTTTGCACATCAGAGAGGCTCACTCAGTGTGTTTTGAACCGAATTGAGATATCCTAATAGATGAGTCTCATGCCTAAAAAATTACAAAATGTAAGCCAACACTCTTTAGTTGCATCACTGGCCTTTGATAGAACTTACTCGTAGAATAGTAGTGTCGTTATTATCACATCTGTTCTTTAGAATTTCCAGAACTTTCCCCAAGCCATGGATCACGCCTTTGTCAGTGGCTACATTGGTGTAGTTTATCGGAGCTTCGTTTACATAGAGCTGTGAACAAGAGGGTTAACCGTAAATTCTTATTGTAGTGAATTTAAGAGAACTAGGGAAGATGGGGATTGGAGGATATCAATATAATAGCCTAGGAGATAGCCCAATGTTTACCCAGAAGGCAGCACATTGTGGTGGAAAGAGGGGAGTCTGAGTAATAGCCCTGCATCTGGCACCATCTAGCGGTGTGACGTTGGGCACCATCTAGCTGTGTGACGTTGGGCACCATCTAGCGGTGTGACGTTGGGCACCATCTAGCGGTGTGACGTTGGTCACCATCTAGCTGTGTGACCTTGGGCACCATCTAGCGGTGTGACCTTGGCCCAGTTGATTTTCTTCTCTGAATCTCAATGTCCTCCTTTGTTCTAGATAATTTCTAAGGTTTCTCTTCAGCTCTCTAATTAATTGGTTTATGATTGAAAAATTCTGAATCATGATCATTATGTTAGTGCCCGTTGATAAGATGGCTGCCTGGACATGCCCAGATGTGCTGCAGACTCGCGGTCCTGGAGGTGTGAATGCTTTCCAAAACCAAGACATGGAGAATGAAACTCACTGTCCTTTCAGCATGTCTCTACTTGATGGTTAATTGGCTACCAGATTCCATTTCATACTGAAGGCTGCTTGGGGCCTGTCTGTGGGTTTGCTAGGGATCAGTATGGAAGGCACCTGTGACTGCTGGGATTCAAATACCATGATTAGTAGGGCCACACTGGTTATCTGAAGGCTGGTGACAGGGAGGGTGAGTGGGAACTTGACAGACTGGCTTAGCCATTACTTTATGGTGAAACACTGACAACCGTCTTCGGTTGATAAGGCTTAGGAAGCACTGGTGAGATTATTCCAATATGGAAGTGATGACAGATGACAAGAGCTAAGATATTCATTCCTGGGTTTTAAAAGGATTGCACCTGGTCATTGCGGAGGAAGAAGCCGAGGAGGTAGGAGAAGCCCAGCATGGTCTCCCGGTGCATGCCATTGTGCAGGTCGTTCTTCAGCAGTTTCTCCTCCAAGACCACGTGATACCTCACTATGTCCTCCTCCTGGACAACGCACAGAAGCGAAAGTCAACCCAGAGGCCAGCCAGTTCCCAGTCACTTATCAGGCTGCTCCGGTGTGCCGGGCACTGTTGGGATTACAGGAGCAGCAGCTTGTTGAACAGGAAGGTTTTTTTTTTTTTAAAGATTTTATTGGGGAGCTGGGGTAGGGGAACAGTGTTGGGGAATTGGGGAAGGGGACCAGCCAAGTTGTTGTTCTTCAGTCTTCATCGTGGAGGGTGCCAGTCGCCATCTGGCTTCCCGTTGGCAGTTTGTGGCCTCTAAGCTCAAGGTGCTGTGTTCAATCTTAGTTGTGGGTGGGCGTAGCCACCATCCCATGCGGGAGTCAAACCCAGCAGCCTTGTTGTTAAGAGCACAACACACTCTATCCACTGAGCCATCTGGGCTGCAGCTCAGCTCAAGGTGCCGAGTTCAGTCTTAGTTGTGGGTGGACATAGCCCACCATTGAACAGGCAATCTTGTTGTTACAACAACTGAGCCATCCTGCCACCTGTTGGCAGCTCAGTGACAGCTCAGCTCGGGCGCAGAGTCACTAGCCCATGTGGGAATTGAACCGGTGGCCCTGTTGCTCAGAGCTCGCACTCTTAAGCCAACTCTTAACCAACTGAGCCACTCGGCTGGCCCTTGAACAGGAAGTTTTGACCGAGGTATCAGGACACAATAGATATTAAATACTACATCTGAGACAGATCACCTTAGAGAACTTGCAAAGTTTCCACGTAGGATGATCAGGAACTCATTACGTGACCCTAAGACCGAGAATGAGGACGTGAATGTTTGGGGGAGGATTTTAAAGACAATTTATTTGGAAAGAACTGCTGTGAAGAGAGTCCCTACACCCAAACCTGCCTTTCACCTCAGGGGTCATGAGAGGAGGTTTGATGGGATGTTTCAAAGAGTTTGATCTATGTTCCCTGCAGAGAGGGTGGCCCGTGGGAGTGGGGTCTCACTCAGGCCTGAGCAATCTCATGCCTGGCAGGGTGATCCACAGTGGGGTGAGGAGGGTTGTTGCTGCACAGAGACAGGCCTGCACCCCCAGCGTTGGCTCAGGACAAGAGAACATGTGTGTCCTGTGGACACACATCCAGGTTCCTGGGACACTGCATCCTTGTGTACATGGGCCCAAGTGTGTGCTTCCGGAAGTCCAAACTATATACAGTATATGGGCAGCTATGACATGGGGGAGGTTTGTGTATGAGAGAGTCTCCACATGAGTTTATATTGAGTATCAGGATGTGGAAATGAAGTTTTGATGGAAGAGTGAAATGGCACATGATTGATGGGTTGAACAATGAATGTTGAGTGGTTGAATATCAAGAAAACCATTCCCCTGGTATTCCCAATACCTACTAGAGATGCGACCTTCTTTTCCCGGATGTAATTCTCAATGGCATCATTGTTTGGAGCAAACACTGTGTAAGCGTCGGCAGCCTCAATGGCATTTGCCAGATTATATTGCTGTGATGGAAAGAGACAAAGTGTGTGAGGGACCTCTGTTCCCGGGTAGCCTGAGCAAGTGGGTCATGCAGAGAACGTGGTACTTGCAATGATGTAGCCCCTGAAGATGGAATAGTCAGGCATCTGGTCCAGCCGGGCGAGCAGGTTTGGCAAGGAGCCAGTCAGACTTCTTTGGGGAACCAGAACCTGGGAAAGGAAGCCCCCAAATTCTGTTAGCATGTGTTGGTAGGACTTGCTGTTCTCCAGTGCATGGGCTCATGTCACATGACACGATACAATTATGAGGGTCACTGCTAGTCCCTAGAGGGCCTCTGCAAATTTAAAATTACCATTTCCTCTGATAGTTTGCAATACCAACAGGGGTGTATAGGTTGGGAAGTGAAGTGGGCTGGATTTCAGCCCCACTCCATCTCTAAGCTAGGGACCTTTATGCAGTGCACAGCCTGCACAACTGTACAAGATGGCCCTGGCAAAGGTGACCACACTGTCCAATGAACAGGTAGAGAAGGAGCTCCTTAGGGAGCCAATGCAACCCAGAGGCTAAGCAAAGGACGTGAATCAGTGGACATGCATCCATAAATCTTTTGTGTTCATGTAACTTCTTCCTCAATCTAGTTACTTATCCATGGGGACCCCCAGCTGTCTCATTTGGGAGGTGAGGACAATAGCACCTCCTTCCTCCGGGTTGTTAAAATCAAATGAGATAATGTGATGTATGCTGTGTAGTGCAATGCCTGGTGGAATGTCAATCATTACGATTATGACTGTACACAAGGCTAGGTGCTGGTGCCGATGAGGGACAAAGATGCAGCTGCACCCCTCCTGAACAGGGGTTCAGGACCTAGTCCATAAGGAACAACTACCAAGACAAGAGGGCACAGTTATGCTATTGGGTTGTTAGAAAAGTCATGACGAAGTTTTTCTATGTTTTTTCTTGCAAAAATGCATCATGACTTTTCCGACAACCCAATAAATGGGTTCTATACCAAGAAATCCCATGGGATTTCAGAGGCAAGAAAAGAGAATAAAACAAACATTCATAAGGGTCCACCAGGCAGTACACGTTGACAGAAGATGTTGTTTAATCCTCACAGGGGAAGAAAATTGAGGCTCTGAGAGGTTATGTGATTTGCCCACAGTCACACAGCTAGCCAAGTGCCTGAAGTCAGAAACTATATGACTCTAGAACTTACCCTCTTGACACTATGTCAATCTTGGTGACATGGGCTGCAGGGATCAGGGAAGGCTTCCCGGAGGAGGTGGGACTTGAATTAGGCCCCATGATAATATGTTCAGCATAGGAGGTGGGTTGAGGTGTTATTCTACTAAGGAGGTTGTGTCCATCAAAAATGTAAATGAGAAGGAGAGGTAATTTTATGTTTTAAAAAAAGGTTTTTAGTGCTTTGGAAAGCCAGGATTAGGAAAGAAAAATACCCTTGAAAGATAATGCTACTTTGCATTGAACGAAGCCATAAACCCAGCATAGCTCCTTGCAAGTGATGAGTCACTTGTTCAAAAAGCATCGTTTCTTAATGTCTCTTGGTAAAGAGAATTGCAAGGCCTTTGAAAAATAATGCACCTAGGAGACTTACAAATAGCCTGTCTTTTCAGAATGGAAATAGTTGACCTTTTCTGTAACTTAGAATCAAAAAGTGAGTATATAAGTGCCAAAAGAGAACAATTTTAGTTAAGAAGTAATTAGTTCTTTGTCTTTTCTAATCTTTCACCTCTCAAAAGTTCCCAATATACCCTAAATTCTAACTTTAATTTTAAGTGAAGGTCCTAATGTAGTAACTGAAAATTATAGGAGAGCTTAAAACCCCATTTCCCATTTTAGTTTTATTTTCTATTGCATACCTTTGAATACCGTTGAACTGCCTCTTAGAAGGAAATGAACATTTCACAATACTTTTTTTACCCTTTTCCATTTTTTCCTATGGTTTTCTCCATTTCATCACTTTAATAATGCAGAGATGGGAGTGGAAAAGTGATACATAAGCATTTGCCTCTCCTTCAGTTCTTAATGCCATCCCACCTGGATGGAAGGGATTCCCAATACTAAGGTTCTTGTGTGCCTGGAAGACATTCCCATAAATAAGAAACACAATATACAGGGCCCACTGCAGAAAACGGGCTGAGTAAATAGTAACTGAGTCTGTTTGAATGAGTAGAGCCTCTAAATGGTTTTAAAATAAAAGTAATGAAGCACCATACGGGTCACTTTTATACTAAGGTTAAGTATTTCCCCCTCAAAAGATGCTGCACAGGAGGATAAGTGAAGAGAGAGAAGCTACATGCGTGGGAGGGTGAAGTTGCGTACCTTGTTGATGATGTGGATCACTCCATTTGTGGCTGCATTGTCACCGTCAACGACGGACGCTCCTTCAATTGTGATGTTCTGTAAATGCGAACCACAGTGGGACGGTGACTCTCTGCAGAGTGCACCGAGGGATTGACATTGTTTCCGGGTTTTCCGCTTTCTGAGCAGCAGTGACCTTCACACTCTTGGACCATGACCCACAGTTAGAAATATCTTTAAATTGTGACCCATTAGACATGACACACAGACACAATCACAGTGAAATAGCACTTTCCTCTACTATGTGGCAGCTGATCATTGAGTCCATTCCGTTCTGTTCTATTTCATTGAAAAAGAGCTGGTTGAGGTCACTACAGTGACCCTGCTATTTGAAAAACCCCATAGACAGTGTTGTGGGTTGAACTGTCTTCTCTCCCTCCCCAAAATTTATATGTTGGAGTCCTAACCCCCCAGTACCTCAGAATGTGACCATATTTGGAGATAGGGCCTTTATAGAGGTGGTCAAGTTCAAATGAGGTCATTAGGGTGGGCCCTAATCCAATATGACTGATGTCTTTATAAGAGAAGGAAATCTGGACACAGACAACAGTACGGCGAGAACACCATGTGACCGTCCTCATGGTCAGCCTGGAGCAGCTCCTCCCCAGCCCTCAGAAGGAGCCAACCCTCCCCAGCCCTTGATCTTGGACTTCCGGCCTCCAGGACGTGAGACAGAAATTTCTGTTGTCTGAGCCACCCAGTCTGAGTTCCTTTGTTACAATAGCCCTAGCAAACTCAGACAGACAGTAACTGACTTTGCTGGTCAGACAGAATCCAACTACTTTTCAGGAGTATTAATTCATGGGGAATGGAGCTAAGTAAAACCCACCCAGCCGCCTAGCCACCAACCAACCATGACTTCACCCTCTCTGGTTTTCTGGGTTTCCTCTCCTCATCTCCCCACCATTACCCTTTATTTGAAATTCCTGCTGGGCACCTTAGGTGCGGAGGAGACTTGTCTCATCCCGAGTAGCTCCCAAGTCACATCAGCAGAGGCCCTGAAGAAAACATCCCCGGCCACTTTGCACATCTCTTTGGTTACAGGGAGACATTTCTATCAGACGCACGAGTGAGCTCATTAAAAATGTGTCTCTGATGGCTAGCTTTTCCACATCAATGGTCTTGATTGATTTATCTGTGAATCTATAGAGTTTGGGATAAGCTTGCCAGGGTGGGTGTTCAGTCAATGCTTGCTAAGAGAACCAGTGATTTAAAACACTGGTAAAAAATAACCCCATTGTCTGATATATGTACACAATGCACTAGAATTATAATAATATGTAAAGAACCCATGGGACCGTTTGTAACTCTTCTCTGCTTTTGAAAAGGAATTGTCTGATGAAGCTCACACATTTAGGTATCACTAGGCATGGAACTTTCCAGGAGCTCACATGGATGAGTAGGAAGGTAGACGTGCTTTAGAGTGGTCGTTCTCAAACATTTGGGACTGTAGCCCATGACTCACTGGTGTAGCAGTTCTCCTTTTCCAGTAGAACCTTCATTTTCATCTTGTATAATTCATAGAAAGAATTTTGAGACACTGTCACATGCAGCAGGGCAGCCAGACTTCCT